AAGTCGCTTGTTGTTTGTTGTTGTTTTTATGTTGTTGTTTTTAGCAATGTTTTTCCAACATATTCAGTCGATGAAAAGTTTTAGGACAATGTGAATAGCCTTTTTCAAGGTTCTGGTGATGAAGTGATTTTTTTCTGGGCGAATTTTTTTCTAATGCATTAATTGGCTACAATTAAAACACCAAATCACAAACATATCAAATGCGCCAAAAATCATTACGATAAAGACGATTTTTTTATATTTTTAACTTTGCTTCAATACAACTGCAATCGTTATTCAAACGAATATATGCTGCAAAGCCAGAATGACTTCGAGAGCTTTGATAATACTAGTAACAGGGCTATGTAACGCCGCATATACGTAGTCGCATAAAGCTCCCGAGAGATTTGTACGTCAACGGTTTAAAAGGTGATGCCTTGTTCCGACGAAATAAAGATCCCCATCATAAGTTGGTAAGAAAAATCACAACGTCGTGTCCAAGAAAATATCAATCAGTTTCATCATCAAAATCGTATTATCATCATCTACTTCATCATAATCATCATTAATATAATCATTAAGTCCATCATTATCAAAAGCATCACCGTCTTAAGCGTCAGTTTTATTTAGATCATCAAAACGTTATAACCTCTGTCATTATAATCAACAAAATCAACATTATCATTACCAAAATCATCATGATAACTCATTTCACCATTACTTCCATCATCTTCAAAATCATCATCACCTCAATCATCATCATCATCAATATCTAATTATCATCATCTTCTTTAATATTATCATAAAAAGTCATTATCACCAATGCATTATCATTATCAAAATCAATATTAGCATTACATGTATCATTATCATGAACCGTTATCACCTCCATAGTCATCAAGATTTTAATTATCACCGTTATCATTATTATCGTCATCACTTCCATAATCAAATTCTTTATAATCATCACATCCGTGCTCAAAATCATCATGAAAATAATAGTTATTCCTCATCATTATCGTCCGATGAACGCTATTTAATGTTTTCATGTCAAGAACGGGGACGGACATTTTTTATTTCAGCCTGTTTCAAACAGTGTGATATGATTTATATTTCACTTATATTTTCTGTATCTCATCGAAACACGTATCTTAAACACTGCTTGCTTGATTATGAGTAATTTTCATTAGAAAGGAAAAAGTTTTGAATGTATTTCAAATTGATGATGATGGTGTATTTATGATGATAATTGTAATGTACTGATGATGATGTTGATGATGGCGTTGATAATATACTAATGATGATAATGATGATGTACTGAATAAGACGTTGATAATGTTGATGATTATAATGAAGGATGCCAATGTTGCGTAACCTGTTTTTATACATGTATAATGAAAAACAAAACCATATTCCAAAACTAATAATTTCATAATTACACAGTGTGAAATGAGGCATCTTATACAGCTCTTGTTTGTTGGGAACTGTATGTGAGCTTTATCACACCGTATTACCGGCACAGGTAATGACAGAACGTTGCAGTGATGACAGAAATCTAAAATTAAAGGTTAAAAAATTTGGTTAGTATATCTATATCAGGAAAATAAACAATCGTATCGTTATAAACTTACTTCCATTGACTGGAGACACTACAAGTAATTTGGAACTTGTTTCCCCATTTATTAAATATTTGAAAACTAAGGTCTTCATCGTACCCGTGTTTATACTGTGAGGCGTATCAGACGCAGGCACAGGACAAAAGAAGGCTCACTACGACTAATTTGCATTAAACTAGAGCAATTGACAATAAGAATATCACAATGGATTTGTCCTTGTTTGCGTAATATAAATACAAGTATAGCCTCCTACCTGTAGTAATCAATAAATCTTATATGTCTGTCATCACAACAGCAATCTGTCATCACTGCAACCGGTTGTACAGTGTGACAATGCTGTCCACGAAAGGGTGCATTGCAATTGGAGTGTCGAACTCAAAACGCATTTAGATTATAAAAAGAATGTATATTTGTCAATGCTAGCACATGTACTTATTAGAGGTTCAGGCAAAGTTTACGCATGACATTGATGAACCTAAACTGATCAAATCTAAGTAACTATATATGACAGACTAGTATTTTGCGACAAATAATTATGTTATACAAGTTCTACAGCAGTATCATTTCAACATTTTTTTAAATATTTTATCACCTTTTATAATCACGAAGTAAAACAAATACAGTTTCATGTAGTAAATATATCCTACATGTGATATATTTCGACGGCATTTGAGACAATATTTTTATATCTTTTCTCACTTAATTATTAGGGCTTATTTGTATAGTGTAACAAAGCCGTGTGTATTGAAATTTTAACCTTTAGATATATTTAGCATTAACTATTAGCTGACAGCTAGATTAAGGTTAAAAAAGATGTTTTTTACATGTTGTTTTAGATTCAATAGGAACTAATGTCAACCATGGCGGGACAGATGTTTGACCACCCCAGATTTATTTGAATCCCATTTCGTGTAGGACATTTGCCCCTTCATATGTTTTTAAGGGCGGACATTTGCCCCCCAAGCTAAATTTTGTGAAAGGCGGACTTTTGCTCCCCTGTATTAAAACCTTTAAAGGGCGGGTACCCCCCCCCCCCCACTTCCCTTATAAAGTTGTCACTGCTGTTTTATTTAGTATACAATTAAGGGTCCGAGAAAAAGATTAAACACTAAACCATAATTAGCTAGAAGTACGTTTAGTGATCTGAAGCAAGTACCATCAGTTTTATTATAAGCAAAAGATCATTATTTTTCATATATTCCGGTCAACCAACCCAGCTCTAAGAAGATTTTTTAAGTTTTTACTATACACATATATGAAAAACAATGACCACCCCCCCCCCTCTGGGCGGGGCCAAATTTTGTCCCCGGGGCTTTTATTTGAACAAACTTGGTAGACACTCACTAGAAGATAGATCACGCTTAAAATCTAAACTCTAGCTTTTTGGGTTTTTTAAAGAAGATTTTTTAAGGTTTTTACTATATACATATAAGGAAAATCAATGATTCCCCTGGCAGGGCCAATGTTAACCCCAGGGCCCTTATTTGAACAAAAATTTTAGACACTCATTAGAAGATAAAAATCTTAGCTCTAGCTCTTACAGTTTTTTAAAAGAAGGTTTTTTTAAAAGTTTTTACTATCGATACATAAAGGGAAAAACATTGACCCCCCCTAGGGCGGGGCCAATTTTGACCCCAGGGCTTTTATTTGAACAAAACTTAATTTGGTATACACCCACTAGATTATATTTCATGCTTAATATTTAAGCTCTAGCTATTAAGGTTTTTTAAAAGAAGATTTTTTAAGTTTTTACTATATACAAATAAGGAAAATCAATGTCCCCTGGGGCGGGACCAATTTTGACCCCGGAGCATTTATTTGAATAAACTTGGTAGACACTGACTAGATGATGTTTCATGCCAATTATTTAAGCTCTAGCTCTTTCGGTTTTCTAAAAGAAGATATTTTAAGTTTTTTCTTTCGGTTGCCATGGTAACCTGAGTTTTGCTAGGAATTAAATTCTTTGAACAACTTTTGAAAGTGACTACCAAAGGAACATTTCTGTAAAGTTTGGATGAAATTGGCTTAGCGGTTTATGAGGAGATGTTGTTTAAAGTAAAAGTTTACGGACGGACGACAGACGGACGAACACCGGACGAAAAGTGATCACAAAAGATCACCATGTCACTTTGCGACAGGTGAGCTAAAAATTAATATTTTCATCTTTAAGGTCAAAATCATTCAAGAGTCAAGGTCATTTTGAGTTTGATATATGTACATGAAGGTCTTATCCTAAAAGATTACATGTATTATGTTCTAGTTTGAAGACAATCCATTAAAAAATAACAAAGTTATAGCCTCTAATAGCAAAAAAAAAAAAAACAAGCAAAATTAAGACATTTTACCTTGAAGGTCAAGGACATTTATGAAGAAAGGTCAAAGTTAATCTAGTCTACTTGAAGGTCTTGCAACAAGCGTTGTTGTGGCCAATTATGAAGACAATAAACCAAGACTAAAACAGGTTATTGTTTGCACAATGGCAACGGCAACCCGACATGACTATTTTTTTTACACAAAAAGTCTAGCTAAACAGCCTGTATCTTTTGTCCAAATTGCCAACCTTGGGATTGGGAAAAAAAAATTGGATTTGGAAAAAAAATTGGATAGGGAATGTGGCCTATATTTGGACCCATTGGATAGAGGGGAAAAGCCTTGCCATGTCATCTGCATTGTTAACCATTTAGTCGGTATTTGAAAATCTCCTTAAAAAAATTAAGACGGCTGGGTTCATGTATTTAGATATTTAGCGTGGTTAACTGACTTAATCAAACTCAAAACTGGTTCATTTTCTTTGAATTGGATAATTAGATTCTATTTAAGGGGTTTTAAACTCACAGTAACACTAAAAGATACTATTTTGCAGCTTTCAGCTTCAAAACATACATTGTAACCCGATACTTCATTTTACTTCATCGCGTTAAATTGTAACAAATTTCTATTCCTAATTTCGGAACATAGACATCTTTTAAGGGTGGTGCTTAAAGCGCGAGATGTTGTACAATTCATCATTTCTTATGAATAGACAACACATGACAAGTCTTCAAAATCATGAATTTTTTATGTCAGTGATGTGAAGGGATCATTCTCTTAACTTTTGAATACAACTGCTCACCGTCACCAGCAGTTGGCAAATTTTCGTCGTGCAGTGGCCGTAAATTGTCGCCCTGTACCTTAATTATGTCAAAACATAAACATTTTTACTGTCCTGCACACTGTCACCGGCAGTTGGCAAATATTCTATGTGTGGAAAATTATCGCCCGGTACCTTTAAAATTTTTACTGCCCTTTCCGATCTTCATTATAAAATATGTTCAATTTAAACCAGAGACATATAAGTTGGAATGAATAAAGTTCTTTGTTTAAACTAACGTTTAATGTGGCATATAAAAATCACGAACTCTGTAATGTTCATGTCAGAATTTATTGTGAAAGAACGTTATAAATACATGTATATAAATTTAAGTGTTGCTCACTCGATTAACACTTTTTTTCAATCATACACTCTTAATAACGATTATGCATGAATACAAAAATTATGACATCATGAGCATATGTTTATAAAGATTTTGTTGCTGTAAAAAAATATATATATTTTTAAAAAACACTGTTTGATTTTTCATTTTAAATTAGTCCTTTACTGTTTGCCTAATTCTTCCGGAACTTAAAACAGTTTTGCCATTCAACAAATATTTTATTTATTATTGAGCACAATATTTGTTGATCTAGAATGAATTACCCAAACTTTATTTTAGGAAAGATAAGTCACAGAAAAATAACAATATAAACATAATTCATGATGTCATAAAGCTAAAAATTAAATAAACTATGCATGCAACCCATCGTTTTTGGTTAAACATTCCTTAAACCATATATGTTTGGTAGAATACCTCTAAAAACTGGGCTTTAGGTAAAACAACTCTAAAAACAACAAATATTACCCTTTAGTTAATCAAGAATACTGTTTTGTGTAGTAAGCATTATGTATATTTCCATATTTTTAGATATATATATTTGAAGCATAATACTGATGAAAGATTATTAACAATGAGCAAATACCAACATTTATAAAATTTATAAAAATAACTAAAACAATGTATTATATCTATCTTATTTAGTTTCTTACCTATAACATTACATTAAGTTGCTTGAAATACTTTTTAAAACGTTCCTTTTTAAACAATACATTAATACATGTATGTACATGTAAAACTTTGGCAAAATTTATATAAAAAATATAGCCAAAAAAAAAAATAATAATAATAAATAAAATAAAAAAACTGTTAATCTAGAAAAGTTTGAAATTAACTTCACCTAAGGAATAAATTATACTTTATAGGCTATATTTTTATGGATAAATATATTTTAAACATTTAAAGGGACTCCACTGACGTTTTTTTTGCATGACGGGACTAAAAATATTTTTCAGATATTTGTGTTCCGTTCAATGTAAGTCTGGACTAATGTCCTAATTCAGTGTGGAAATTTTCAGATCATTCATTCTCCTCGTGTTTCCAGACATATCAATTTTATTGTCTAAAATGACCAGAAAAAAGCGTTGGAACGCATTCACTCAACTCAGGCTTAGGTTTTTTAGGTTTTTTGACCTCAGGGGAGCTCTTTTAAATCAACAATGCCAAAATATTCACCCATGTCAAAAAAGGTAGCAACTTTTGATACACATACTTTGGTTTATAATCATTCCCACACATGCTTACCCTCTAAATCTACCGTTAATTTCAGATAAAATGTTTTTTACTATAATTACAAAACATAACAATGCTCTCTTATAAAATCATTTCATACAAAAATAAAATAAAAATAAAACAACTTAGTCCCAACAAACAACAAACAGACAATACTGTAAATATACTATGCAAAATAAGGGTAAATACTGTATAAAAACATACACAAAGCAGCAGCTTATGATTTATCACAGAAAAAGAACGATTAATACTGAAAAAAGTGCATTAGCATTCAATACTGAGTGCGTTAATAATATTTAAAAGCATAAAGCATCTCTTTACTAAAATTTTTTTTTCACTTAGGTCCCGCCAACAACTCTTTAACATTCTTGCGATTTTTTGACACGCAGTCATATGTATGTCCTGGCAAGGGGTTTGTCATTAATGAAAGATAGATCTCACCCCCCATGACATGACATATCAAAAATCAATTTGTATGCAGTAAAGATTATCTTCCCCTTAATTAGGACTAAAGTAGAGTGGCTTCCCTTTATTGGCCACACAGAGTGGCTCCCCTTTTATAGCAAGAAAGAGTGACTTCCCTTGAGACAACAAATTTCAAATAAAAATTCTTCTAGAGAATGGGCTAATTTTGGCTCTAAACTTATGTACTATGCATAAAACAGATTATATATACTATACTGCCACAATAATAATATTGTATACACAATAATAATATTGTATATATTGTTGATAATAAGAAAAATAAATTGTATGCAAATTGAAGAATAACAAACATGATATATAACATTGTAAGACAAATATGTAGATACTAGACTATCCTGCCAAATTCTCACAGTATATTATGTAAAATATAGACAGAACTAGAAAAGTGTCTTTGATTGAATTCTTAAGACACATGTGTATGCTTTAGCTATATATGAATCTGGAAAATTTACTTTTTGTGGGAAAAAAAATCATCTGGGAGGGGACACTTTATTGGAATAAGAGTAAGTAAGTTGCAGTGAAGAAATTTAAAACAGATATGAAAAAATTAACAGAAAACTAAAGTATGTATATATATACATGTATATATATTTGGTTGGGTTTTACCTTTCACCAACACAGTATAGATCATAGTTATGCTGACGTTCCAGCTTTACTGGTGTAGGAAGACCTCAGGTGTCTCTCCATGCCTTATTTCAGGCAGAAATAGGCACCTGAAATCCACTGACATTCCATAAGCCAGCTGGATAGCCTCCTCACATGAATTTATGTTTGTAAATTAAAAGTATGAAATTGTCAACAAATAATTCTAGGTAGAGAACTTTAACATTTAACCCGCTTAACGAAAGTGATTACAGTCTTTGCCAGCTCTGTATTGAGCCAGATCTTAAATGGACTACACAAATTGTTCCAAATTCCAAACAGGGCAATTCCATTAAACTCGGCAGATCAAGAAATTAAAGCTTATAATTCTCACAAAAACAATTGATGGTCATAAAAATACTGTTACATGTATGATACCCCTTACCTAAAACTGAATTTATCTTGAGCAATATTTCTTTTCAGTAACAATAACATCAATTCTGCATAAATTTGTATTTCTTTCTAGGATTTAACTTACATTAAATCCTTAAGGTGTGTTTTTAAAACTTGCTACACTAACATTCAGATGCAATAAACAGCAATTTCTAAAAATAGCTTCATTAACAACAGTCACAATGAATCTGTGCTCCATTCAAAACAGTTCATACAATAATTTTACAATTGAAAATAAACAACTTTTAATACCTGAAAAAATATTTTGAAAAAAAAAAAGAATGACTGGAAAAAAAAATACTGACTGAAAAAAAAAAATTACAAAAAAATAATTATTTATCAAAATGTTCTAAACACCAACAGAGGTCATTGCCCTCAATGGCATTTCTGGTAGTTTTTCCGGAGATTTTAAAGCTGATACTCCTCTGAAGTGGAGATCCTTGTTTACTTTGTTTATAGGATGGAGATTGGTCGACTGCTCTCTGGGTACGGCAAATCTAAAAATAAACAATGAAAATTAATATAAAATGTACAATGTATAATTATACAAAAGTCGGATTTAATATGAAAGAAAAACAGACCCTGATGTAGGTTTATAAAAATGACAAAGATATATAGACCTTGAATCACACAATATTTAACTTAAATTATAAACAAGTGTTTGACTTTGAGCATTCCTTTCCTATCGACATTACACAATTTAATATAGACGATTATAACTATCAAATTAGCTAAGCACCAAAATGTCACAATTTATTTATAAAATGATTTTTATTTTTGTATCTGGGACTGAAATTGTTCTTGCTTATTATCATTTATACTAAAAGGCAAAATCGTTCAAAACCATTATTCAATAGACCTTTTTTTCCCCCAAGGCTTTTCATTTTTTTGGTATCCTATTACAGTTTCCAAAAAGTTACTCATTGACCAATAACACGAAACATATTTTCTTCTGATAAGGAAAGTTATAATATTGAATTAGTATTTTGTAAGGAAGTCAAAATACTACTTTGTTTACATTTTGCTAATTTTATGACAAATAATTTCCCATTCAGTGCAACTTTCTTTAAATGATTAACATCTAAAATGCTTTAAACATTATAAAACTCATGTTTGCCCTTTCCAAAGAACGAAAAAAATCATAATTTCTGCAAGTGGCATAATGTGCCTAATAATAAAATATCTGCAAAACCTCTGAGGTTCTGATAAATTGGGATTTTTTTTTATATTTCTGAAAGCATTTACTAGATATTTTTGATTTAAGTTTGATTTGAAAGTTTTTGTTTGTTTGTTTGTTTTGGATTTTACGTCACATCGACACAGTATAGGTCATATCACGACATTCCAGCTTTACTGGTGGAAGAGGACCTCAGGTGCCCTTCCGTGCATTATTTCAGGCACATTAAACAGGCACCCGAGTAGAACCATCAATGTTCCGTAAGCTAGCTGGATAGCTTCCTCACATGAAAGAATCCAAAGTCCCTGTCCGGTTTCAAACCCACAGCGGTGAGGGGCAAGTTGATTGAAGTAAACGACCTTAACCACTCGGCCACGTCACCCTGAGTACATGACAGTATAAATGTGTTCATTGGACACTTAATTAAGACCCCACTGTTTTATCAGTCTACGGACGGACAGCATGACAAAAGGTCAAGGGCAAATCTATATGCACCTCATTCCCCTCTTTGGCACAAAAATTTGTTTCTTTCATTTGAAGGTATAGTAATGCTGCTTTCATATACATTGTATACTATACTACTTAATTTTTTCTAATATTTCTTAACCCTTAAATTAAATGGGACTTAATTTTGCCAAGCTTTACTTTTGGGGGTTTACATCCATTATCTTTTTGGGGGGATTAAAAAAATAAAAATTTAAATTTTTTAAAGTCACCCAAAACATTATAAGACTGGCTAACAGGGTAAAAGTTTAAAATAATTATAATGCATGATTTAGGGAAAAAAGGCTTTTAAAAATAAAATCATTTTTAGGAAATTTGGCTCTTTTGGGGAAATAGAATACAGGACATCATATAAAATGTTTTTTTTTTGGTGAAACTTTAAAATTTAAAGGAGCAATAGGGCAAATGCTGCTTTGCTCCCAACTAGGCCATGCAGGCTCCAAGACCAGAAGTAAAAGAGTTTTTTCGATTGTCTCCCAGCTTACAAATTTCTGCAATATAAACTATTCTAAGTAGGGTTTTTAAAGCCCCATTACAAAACTTTTCCCAAAAGTTTTAAAATTTAAAAATTTTGTTTTCCTTTTTTTTTAATGCTATAAAAAAAATATTTTAAGCAAAACCATCCATTAAGCTTTTTAAAGGTATTTCCATAAAGGTTTTTTTGGGACATCCCGGGGGCCCAAAAAAATAATTTTTTATATTTTTTTTCCCATTTAAATGAAGTTTCTAGACCAAAAAACCTGTGTGCAAAATTTCAGATGGTCGTCTCATTTTGTTTTTCCAATTAATTAATTGTCTACATGTATTATTATTAATTATTATCAAAATTGTGAAAAAAAAAGACCAAAAATTGAAAGCTTTGCAACGCTTTTCAATAATCCAATTATTCTTTGCCCAAAAATATGATTTTATTACTTAATAATCTTTTGCATATCTTTCCATTTCAAGTGTTCAAGCTAGCTGACTGACCTAGATATGTAAGAAATTCAAAATTTATTCTTTTTTTGGCATTTGAACATCAGTGGAGTTCCTTTAAGCATACTATAAGTACAAAACATTGACTAATAATTGTCAAAAACTACTATACAGTTATAAACAATTTTACTGGACAATTACTTTTTTTATGCAAAATTTAACGAACATGTACATGCATAACCATTATCATTGCACTATCTAGAATGGTTTATACTTAAAATGATATATAAATGATACATAAATTATTCATCAGACTATATCATAACCATACCTTATTTTGCACTAAAATTGAATAAAACAAAAAAGACATAGAAAATTAAAAATGAACACTGGAAAAAGATAATAAATTAATTTGGCAACATCTTAGGAATAATTGACTTTTAAAATTATTAGCCATGATTGATATCCATATCTATTTACATGTATTTATAAGTCACCTGAATTACCGGCAAGAAGTTTATTTCCCCGCAGAACAATGATGATGTCTTCATATCATATATCACCTGCTAATATCCTAACACACAACTATTAAACCCTTACCAAGCTTTTGATAACTATTTCCCAACCAAAACCTGAACAATTCAAGAATTTTCTATGTTTACAAAGGATAATAATTCAGTCAAAATGCATGTATGAGTTATGAATGACTTACAAAATATGTAAATAATCGAGATTTTTCATGCATACCAAACTTTGGTGGTGGTGTTGTTAGTAAGCCACAATGAATTCACCAGTGCATTGTTCAACTACCGCAATGTTCCTGGGCAGGCTGTCAAGCAGTTTACCAGTACTTAGCTGCCTTTAACTTTCGCAAGGATCTGATAAATTGGTAGTGATATAAATTTGTTTGTTAAACCAAGTATTACCAAGTATTACTCCGATGCCCATGTCAGTGCTAGAACATTTATTCAAGATAGCTCCACAATACTTCTAAGAGTCGAGCTAAAAATGAGCTGCGTCACGACAAAACCAACATAGTGCGTTTGCAACCAGCATGGATCCAGACCAGTCTGGGCATCCGCGCAGTCTGATCAGGATCCATGCTGTTTGCTATCAGTTTCTCTACTTGTAAAAGGGTTGGTAAGCGAACAGCATGGATCCTTATCAGACTGCGAAGATGCGCAGGCTGGTCTGGATCCATGCTGATTGCAAACCCATTATCTTGGTTTTGTTGTGACGCAGCTCAAATGATAAAGTACATTTTGAAATACACTTATTTAATACTAACCTAACTTTCGTCATAGCATTATTATTGTGACCAACGAATGAGGAACTGTACGTGGACTGGAAATCACCTCTTGTCTCGTCAGCTATTTGTGACTTCCATTTCTCTTGTAGGCTCTGTAACAGCCCAAAATTTGTTGGATTGGCTGAAAAACAATAATAAAACATGGTATATTAAAGAATAAAGCATGGTTAATGGAATTATAAAAGGTATCATATCTAATCAGCTTTCTATTGAATATACAAAAATATTTATAATATTGGAAATTTTAAGTTTGATAATAATTAAAGATACTAAAATCAAAATTTAAAGGGACTCCACTGTTGTTGATTCTTGGCAAAAGGGATTACAAAAGCTATCAAATTTGTTCAGCTTCTTATTGAATACACAAAAATATTTATAATATTAGAAGTTTTAAGTTTGATAATATATTATAATCAAAATTTAAAAATTTAAAGGGACTCCACTGTTTTTGTGTCTTTTGGACATAAATGGACTGGAAATTGTTTTTTTTCTTGAAGATTTTTGTACAATTTGATGTACATGTATAGACAAATAACATGTTCTTTGTGCACAATTCCATATCATTCGCTCGAGTGATTTTTAAAATATTATTTCAAAACATTTCTTTTATGCGCCAAATGTGGCATTCTGAACTAAGACATCTAGCACGTTTACATCATTTCCATTCTAATTTTATCTTATCAGCTGAAGAAGCTTAATAAGGTGCAGAACATGTATAACTGATTAACTGTGCTTCCTATCATATTTAAGAATATATGATACATTTGAATATACATGTATAAAAAAATATGTTTTACATAACAGTTCTGCATATCATAATTATAATATTCAAATCTACCATAAAATCTACAATAAAAAAAAATACATTAGACTATTATAATCAAATTCATAATAAAAATCTACAATGATTACGAGTATACATAAGAATATCATAAATAATCAAAATCTACAATAAAAATATATATTGGAATATAAAAATGATTATAATGTACTTATAAATGAAATATTGATGGAACAAAATGCATATTTTTATTTTCTATTTTTCACTGTAAATTTTTTTTTACTACAGTGAAAAATATATCCTGTATTTTAAATAGTGTCTTAATTGCCAGACTACTTTTTTCCAAATTCAGCCATTATACACAAAATTGAAAGGGGAAGCCTTTCAAATTGTAATGTCAAAAAAATAGAAATGTAAATAACAAACAGAAAATTCAAGGTTTTTTCTAAAAATACAGGATTTATTTTCTTTTTTGTGGTATGAATATATATAATTCACTTGAGGCAACCCTAAACACCACTCATGTAATATTTATTTTCATACCACTCAATGAAAATAAATCCTGTATTTATAAAAAAAAAAACCTTGAATATCCTCTGTTTATTTGATTTACATTTCAGCTACTTAACTTGTGATATTCAACTCTATGATCTACAATAATCTACAAAAAATATTTATTATATAAATTATATACAGCTAAAATATTACAAATAATCACCATGCATAGCAGTCACTTATGATATCTAGTATTGAAAAAAAATTCTACAATAATTATATGAGGGATACACTATTTTAACATTGATCTATAAAGGATATATGTAATGATCGTAATTATATAAATTTGGTCATTTACCTTTCCATATAAAGATTGACAACAAAAATCTAAAATTAAGATAAACAATAAAAGAAAAACTACAACATGTATTTCATTATATAACTAACAATTTTCTCTTGTTACCATGGCCGACCCAAGATAATGTGTCAGTCCATAGAAAGTGACATTGACCTTGATTCCAGGTGATATTCATGTAAATAAAGCTATGTCAAAATATGTGCAAAATAACATAGCTAAAGTTAACCATTAATAATAAGAAACAAAAGGTTTGACATGATTTAGGCCAAATTAGGGTAATAATTATAACCAACCAATCAAAAATAAGGTTACATTAATAAAATATTTGGTAATGATCAGTTTACAAGGACTGACTCCCTCTTTCTGTAATTTTTTGCTTGTTTGGACCAATTTATAGATCTGGTAAAAAAAATGATAAATGTACAAAAAACACTTAATATAATATCATAGAACAAAATATTTTCTAATTTATTTGATCCATTGAAATTACAACTTTTAAAGCAAACATAATATCTATGTTATATTTACATAAAAATTGGCTAGTCAAACATTGTAAAGTAGAGCAGTAGTTGAACACAGCAGGTTTCGTGTCGATTAAAAGTATTTTATAGGCCGTATTGATCGAAATCTTTAAACTAAAACCCCGATAAACATGTAAAAAAGTACAAAAATTTTTTTGACAGATTTTACTTTAATTCCCTTTGCCAAAATTTTTCGTAAAAAACTACTAAATTTGGGAGTAAAAATTTAATTAATATATATTTTTTGGGAAAGTTTTTGTTTTAAAATGACCCCTCATAAAAAAAGGAAATTTTTTCTATTTTTATTGTCACAGAAAAGGGGCTAATAAATTTATCCCCCGTAAAATTATAAGATTAAAATTAAAAGGTTGGGGTTTTCCCAAAAAACGGTTTTTTAAAAGAAAATTTATTTCCCTACTATGCTAAATTTTTTCAAATGCCCCGTTTTTTATATAAATTTGGGGGCCTTTCTGTTTAAAGTTGAAGTTATTTTTTAAAAACAATGTTTTTACATGCAACAAATGGGGTTTAAAAAAGAAGTGCAAAGGGATTTTGTTACCCCCCCACTCCCCGAGCATGCCCCTTGATTTGCTCATTTTTTCTGGGGTTAACTTACTGTGACAACATAGAAAGGGGTAGTGACAGAAATATCATATTCATTGGTTCCTTTTTTCTGGGGTTTCATATTGTGACAACAGGGAACTTGATTTTATGTTTGACTATGATACAAAAGAGAAAGAACATCAAAACAACAGGCAATCTGATTTACACTAGGGGCTACCCCGCCCCCCTCGTACAAATCAGATTGCCTCGTGTTTCCAAATTCTGATGCTCTTTCTATTACTTGATCCATACCTAATTTTTAAAGAAGGCATAGGCTTGAACATACTGCCAATAGCACCCCAAAAGGGTGACCACTTTACTCAATATTACTTTAAATATTAAAAGTTAACAATAATTTTCTGAAAAAAATAACAATTTTACTAAAAAAAAAACAAAACGAAAACATCAACAATTTCATTCACAAAGGGAATAATTTTACTTCCAAAAGGTCTAAAAAGGTTCACAACTTTACTCTCAAAATGTTAACAATTTTACTTTGATAACTCTAAAAATAATTTTACTTTCAAAGCATGATTAATCTATGATATAATATAAGGAAAATTGGGCTTTTATTTTTACATATAGGTATGATTACGGTTGAAATAAATTTAACTTAACAATATAACAAAATGAATTTTACAACTTCAAAACTGTTGAAGTCATATTACAAATTTTGCTTTGACAACATTTTTTCACATGTATATGAATTACAAGTTTAACTTTTACCCTAACCCGGCCTATTACTGTTATTACAATTAGATACAAAATAACTAACGTCAACATATACCTTAACTAAACAAAAGGTAAATTTGTTTAAATCAATACGTTGAAGTGTTAGATTTAATCTACAAAGTGTATCATGCAAAGAATAGCTATTTAAACGTTAATAAATATTTTACCAAATCAAAACACTGTGTTTGTTATATAATAATAAGATCATTCTGGTCCCTTATTTGAAAAAAGGGAAACAATCCTAACAAAGTGCATGATATAGTTACTGGCCTTTGACTACAAATGTACATGTATATACCAAGTATACATGCATTATAGGGTTCAATAATTTGTTGTTGTTTTTTTTGTTGTTGTTTTTTTTTAATTTAAAAGTATTAATTGGTACAAATGATGACTGTAATTGGTACATTGGTACAATTTATCAAGGGCTACAACTCCGACATATATACAAAAGAGTTGCAGAACTTGACAGAATTTCATAAAATACAAATTCTAGCCCAACGGTTATGGCACTCACAGTCACTATGTCATTTAAGAAATTTGTTTTCAATCCTTAATGCTATATATATTTTTGAAATCACATCTCCAACACTTTGATATATTGGATTAATCAGACACTAAAAATAATTAGAGTTTATAATTATTTTTTGTCCAATAGGATTGAAGTTTTTCGAATGAATCATAACACATTTACTTTGGTAAATCAGCAAACTGTGAATCAGTCTAGTAAATCAACTGTTTATAAAAATAATTAAAACACTAAGCCGGTTAAAATTTATTAGTACAAATTTACAAAATTAAATTGGTTGCGTGGTTGCGCGCTTGACCAAATTTAATTTTGTAAATTCAATGGACATACTAATAAGCTTTAACCTATACTAAAAATTGCAAAAAAATGTTGTGGAAGAGGTATTTATACTTATTGTTATGCAATTAAATACAAAATCAACGTAATAGTCATTTAAATGTATCAGAAGACAATCAATCAATATCTATCAGGGACTTTGTAACATTTATGAATTGATATTTCTGTGGTTTATAGAATTAAGTTCATTATAATTATATTGTTAAGGTGACAACGGAGTCAATTATCACTGAAAATACCTAAAATGAGATTTTTTGCTTAGTATATTTATCAACCTTTTCTGAACACATTCGTGATTTAATTTTGGAAGCAGTTAGTCCAAAAAATGTGTTTTTAAACGTTTTAAAACGGTTCCTGTACTATTTTTATCTGCTATCGCGTAACCTGTCAATTATCGATAACGCTCCGCCCCCTGTTGAGGCATCAATGAGGGAAATCGGTAGTTCCATATATGCGTGAATTACCGGTCCCATAACTGGTCCATACTACTCGTAATTCATGTATCCGTACAAATACCGTACATCTTTTAATGAATATCGTCTAACCTTTTAGTTAGCCTTTTTTTTATAAAATAAGAAATTGTCGGCCAATGTACGTACGTAACATAATGTATGAAACATAAATAATTAAGCATAGCGACAAATCGCACGACCACGGGTTTGATTAAAATATAGTTGCTAAAATATCCATAATGTGTGAAAATAATTTGTCTGTCCCGTTAATCTGATAGATATTACATTGAGTTTATGGACTTTTGTACGGATTCAAGGGCTTGCTTTACATTCAACCTCGTGTTTTCTAACAATGTCAAGTAAAACAGAACAAAAAACAGACAACATTTTTTATGTGAACGCCTATATGACTTGTGGTAAGGTCTCCCTGACAAATTTCTAAACCATTTTAGGTTGTCTAAGGATGATTATTTCTCTATGAATCAATAAAAAAGATAATAAAATAAATTATCAGTGAATGCTTTGAATAAATTGTTCGCTAGTAAATCGAACACAGTACTAATAAACCTGGGAGAATGTTTGGAATTTATTGTATATCCCAGTAGAAACTGGATCTCTATGCCGTGCATAGATGATTTTCATGATAATAGAAGTCAAGAAGGTCAGATCATAATGATCGAGTGATACCTTTTATTTCTATTAAAATATGTGAAGCATTTATATCAATTTGGAGGAAAAAATATATAAAATCCCGTTCTTATTTGTACATCTACCATGGACTTTAAAAGACTGTCAGAAGCTCAGTTTTTTTGTTATTTTAATTTATATTTTAACGGAATTTCATACACGAGTACACAGATAGAGTGACACTGGTATAATATAATAATAATGCTGATGATAATAATAGATTCAAAAAATAATAAACTTCAAATGTGAAACAATTAAATACCCCGCTAGCGGTGCACAAATACGTCCCATTTCCCCCCACCGAGTGCCTCAAATTTAACCGAAAGTCACGTGACATGTGCAACCGATACCAGACTGACGGTAAATCACGTTAAGATTTGAAGAAATTTCTGTTATAAACTGATATTAATCAGCAACTTTTTAATTGGTCAGATGTCACTTGGTCATAAAATGTTGTTAGAGTATGTTACCGCAACTTGTGACCCTCTCTGGTGCGATATTTGTGTATTATGTAATTATTTAGCGTGAAACGTAGGGGTCCGAGAGAGAACAGCCGATTTATGACACTTCGTTTGATGCGGGTCGGACTAACTTTGAATCGGCATAACTTTTTTAATAATCAAGCAATTAACATGCGGTTTAAAGCACATGAAAGGGAATTCATTTACTGAGGGAACCGTGTCAGGGATTTTTGTTTGCTCAATCAGCGACTTAATTATCTTTAATTACGTAATATGTATGGTGAAAAAAGTCGCATAAAATGTTCGACGTTACGTAATATTTTTTTGAGAAAAGATAGAAAAAATTTGAGACACGGTTCCCCAGATATTATAGGTATGTTTATTTTCCAAAAGTTTGATGACAAAAAAATAAAAAATGACTTTGATATGACGATTTAAAATTTTAGGATTTTTATTAAAAATCAATCATTTACAAAGGCATTTTTTTCAAATATGTTATTTTTTAATGATGATCAACGACATTTAATGCACAAAGATTAAATAAATAACAATTATTACTAAAATAAGTTGGTTTAAATGACATTTATGTGATTACCACGGAAAGTGTCTGTTGTCACCTTAAAGGAACTCCTCTGAGGTCTTGAAGCCAAATATTATAAAATTTTAATTTTTTACGCAGATCAGTTGGGTATCTTAAAACAGAAAAGTATGCAAAAAAACAAAACAACAACAACTAAAAATATACTTCGAAATGAAAAGCAAACCTTATTTTTTTGTTTTTCTTAGCCAGATTTGAGTTAAAAGCCTTGCAGGGGTTTTCAATTATGGGTCATTTTTCACAATTAGAATAATTATTCTGGAAAACAAAGTGTCATGAATGATCTGAAAATTCAGAATCATTGGTCTAAACCGACATCAAATGGAACATTGATCTCAAAAAATCATTTCCTGTCTTGTCATGTAAAAAAGCCTTAATGGAGTCCCTTTAATCATTTATATCCCTGTGATATAGATTAGAAAGATGGAAGTTTACTGTAAATTGTAAACAAGGTTAGCTTTTAAAAAAGCTAGTAGCGACTCGCTTCGTAATTTTTCCCAGGGGTGTGTTTAAATGTAAAAATGAAAGTTCTGTTAGCTGAAGAGACTTCAGCGAACATCAAAATAAAAGTGACATATAAATTTATGGAAGCCAGTTCTCTCAGTTTAACAAAGAGGAATATGAGTATATATGAAGATGCATGTAAACAGATAGAATAAAGTTCCTATGTCTGTGCACATTTACTATATGGCCTGTTGACCTTGACCAAAAATGTTTTAGATAGGTAGAATTCATAAAGATGTCTCTTTATACGAAGTTAAGTTGTAATATGTTATTTAGTATTGGAATGAGTGACCGACACAAGTCCTATACAGGAATATATTACTGAAGAACTCTCTTGGGCGTGGGCAAATTTAGATTCATGGGGCATGATTAACATTTGATTTGTACAAGTTCTCAAGTCTCGTAAATCCCGGTCAAAATAGACCGGGAGAGACCGGAAGCGACCGGACCGGAGAATAGTATATCCCAGTAAATACCAATCGGAACACCTCGGGCGACTTCAAGAATTCGAACTTGACGGAGATTGCCGAGTTGTTACGATTGAGTAAATACATACACTAAATACCGGAAAGGATAAAATGACCGGAAAAAAAAGAAAAAGAAAAAAATGCACAGAACCAGATGTACACTTATGTTAATTAACCAACAGAGAAAACAGGTGAAATCGCTAAATCAAAAGTCAGTGTAAATATGATTTATTGAAAAGAATTCATGAAAACAAACATTTTAATCATCATTATATCTTTGCGTTCATAGCAATACTTGCTGCTTTTTAAAAATGGCGTGAAAATTGAAGGTTTTTTGACGCTTTGTAAGATTAAATTTGATTGGCTAAATAATTTTGGACTCCAGCCCTGACAGATAAATTTTGTAGAAAGCTGGAAGCCAAGCTTCGATTAAATTTTTGGATGGATTCGGAGTTTTAGGTTGTTTCTAAGTAAAATCCTAACGTAATACCGGCTCGCCGTGGCGAGCCGGCATAATTAATATTTATACAATTTATATTTCTGTGGAACAAAAAGATAAATTCCAATGTAAAGGTACAATTAAGAACACTTGGGAAAAAAATGAAACAGACACGCTGTTACTAAGTGAAAATCATGCTGTTTAGTAAAATAATATGGTGTAATTAAAGGGGAAATATACATTTCATTCTGTGGACACATCAGACAACATAAAAATAGGTTTATTAGTTACAGATATTAAACAAAAAAAGACCATAAATGACAATCAATAATAATTCTATTTATCAATTATGTTAACAAATGAGTATTTCCCCCTCCCCCTCCTCCCAACAATGTCCGAGTATGGCTGATTCAGTCATCAGGCAATAGAACAGTCCTTAAATCAGTATACCCTTTTATAGTAAAATAAAACTCTGAACTTCAATATAAAAGTGTTTTAAGCTTCAAAATAATGGTTTGAGTTTTAAAAATGAACACTCCCATAATGCTTTTATGAACAAAATATGGTGGAATTTTACCTCAAAAGTCAATGGCGCTCGCACAAAAGCATTCCTTAATGGTTAAAATCCTACTTAAAACAGCAGCATAATTTTTTTTTCCAGATATTCTGTTTGCGTGCAATATTCATGCATGTTAAATAACAGAGACATTTTTGTTATCCGTCTGAAAACTTCAAACAAATTTATATACATAATAATTTTAAACGTGTTAAATACTGAAATACAGTCAAATCTATGTTTGTAGCAGCTTTACTTTTTATGTTATTTGAGTCATTATTTTTGAATATGTTTTGAGAAAAAAAAATGCAAACATTTGCATTTGAGAAAAGTGTGCCTGACTGAAAAACAAAAGCCGAAACACAGTATTTCTTCTTTATTTTCTTAATCTAATGGGAAAAAATCTTGTGCTTCAGATCAATATAATCTTTTTTTGTCTTTTAACAACTAACTGGTCTTCATACCAAGGTTTGACTGTACAGAAACATGTAAGGTATATTTTAGAAATTTCAATTTTTGTTAAAATAGGGCTGCAAACTGTAACAAATGAAACAACAAACAGTCATTTAAATTGGAAATAATTATTGTATCAATACCTCCTCCTCTTTTGCTTTCTCTTGAAACTACAGACAAATAATGGCAATGAAAAATAATGGCAATGAATAATGGCAATAAAAAATAATGGCAATGAAAAATGGCAATAAAAAATGGCAATGAAAAAATAACGTAAAAAAAAAACATGTAATGGCAATGAAAACAACAACTGTCGGAGGACAGTAAAGTTCTATAGTAGTTTGGACCAAAATTTATGTTCTAGTTTATAATGGGCCTTGGAAATTGACCTCCTATTATACTCTCCAATAAGCATATAAAAATTCCACCTGTTGCCTTCAGCAGTTTTGGAGATGCCAATTTGCATGCAAAAAACCCAACCATAGTGTGACACCAGGGTGAGTACATTAGCTCTCCCTATTCTTTGAGTAAACAAGTTAATAATAACAAAACAACCAACACCCATTTTTAATTTCTATAAGTATTAATTAGCAATTATTAAAATCAAAATATAGTCAGTTTAATGGTTACATACAGCAAAAACTCATTTAATGCCATATTGATAGCCTGCCAATGGTGACAAAAAGTATGGTACAGATATAAAATCTGCCAATAAGAGGGCCACTATATTGGGCATTTTATTTACTGTATATACAGCTTGTCAATATAACCAAATGTTTTTTTAAATCTTATGAAACTGCAGATGTCTGTAAATTTAACTGTTTATATAGCAAACAACCTGTATATATAAAATTGCATCATACATGTCTTTGAGCAAAAAAAAAAAAAAGAATTGGGTTAGTACTCCCTCATTAATTAATGAAGCAGCAAACTGTTAAACATAAAGACTGACCAAAAAACCTTAAATAATATAACCTCCCTTTATGAAAAAAAAGGAAACATTGAACCCTGACTAGAAAGCAAAATTACATAATCAAAATATCAACAATGTTCTATTTCCAAGCACTGGTTAAGATTCAAAATACAATTTAGCAAGCAATTAAAACAAATTCAATTCCGACATATGCATTTGAGTGTCAATTCAACATGTTATAACAAATGACAGACAGAAAAATTCTGATTATATATTTCTTACCAAGGCGCATACCAATAAGTAATGTTGCTGTAAAATTTCAGTTGTACAAAGTGAATTTTAAAAATCATTAATATAAATTTTAAACAGACTCAGTCTCTGTAATGCTTAAAGGCCCATTGAGCCTCAGAAATGCTTTTACATCTAATTTCTCAAATGTTTTTTTTATTTTGTTGTAATTTTCAAGTCTTAAAATTGATTTTGTAGTGTAAGCTTTTTGGAAATTAGTACAGTACAGTGATTTAGTATGTGAAACTACTTTATTTACAATTTACTATGTTTATGTCAAATAATTTCACATTCAATCTACTTTCTTCAGGTGATAAGCATCAAACATGCCTAAAACAATTATTTAAACATTATAAAACTCATGTTTGGCGCCCTACTATGGAAGGAAAATTAAATCATTTCTGAGGTATAATGTGCCTTTAAATTAGTTGTAAGGTATCTGCATAATGTTCTGTTAGTTTCAACATCTTTTGTTTATTTTATGATGTACATGATACATGTACTGTTACTCAAGATGTTTGAAAATGAAAATAATGTGATGAAAAACAAATACATTAAAAGACAATAATTTCTTGTAATGAATTTTAAATTAAAGAAATTATACAATAATATTAATATATTTCATTAGAACTTCTGAAGATTCATTTTACCCATTAACCAATCTTTGCTGATATAAACAGCCCTGCAGACTGAATATCCATGAAACTTAAAATCTGAAATAGCTCAGACAATTTTAAAGATTATCAACTGCTCCCTTATGGAATAAGAGTAATTTTAAACAGTATTTTTATTTTAAGGTAGTCTTACTGCAATGCTTTTCCACTTAAAAATTTCTAACATTGGTGATTTTTGGAAGGTTATTTTTCGCAATCTACGGTATTCAATAATTTCTAACCATTTATGACCAGAATTTATTGATGAGTGATTGTAAATAATCTTATGCCCAAGATTAAAGAAAAATAATGTTCCGGAAATAAACGATTTGCTACAATATTGGCCGATATTAGAATTTTTTTGGTGGGAAAGCATTACAATAAGACTTCCTTAACTGACAAAGTGCAAAAGGGTGTTATATTACAGTAAGATGACCTTCACTGACAAAGTGAGTTATAATTTACATTCTAAAATATCAAAAGCAATATTGTATTATATATATGTAAATACCTTGTAATGGATAATCTGATCTCTCTGGACCCCACGCTAGTTGATGGCTATTCCACTGACGGCTAGGTGGGAAATCATTCTCCTTCCATCTACCATTATAGTGTTCATCGTACCAGGACAGCATGTTATTTGTGTATCTTTTACCATGATGCCAGAATAAATTTTCCGTTCCTAGACCATCATTTCTTAAAAGGGCCTTCCTGCGTACAACAACATCAGGCCTGTGTCCTTCGTAATTACGGAAATCAACTCTGTGTGTACTGTTATGTTTCTGATTTCCTCTTTGAAACTGTAAGAAATGTGATAATGCTCACTTGAATTTTCATGTTAAAATAACTTTTTTTTGTCTAATTGGGTAAACAGAATTACTGAAAAATACTGAAAAATTATATAGTACCAACATTCTCTAATAAAACATAAAATATTGGGAGAAATTGTTCAATAACTTAAGTGAACAAGGGTGATGACAGCAAAAATCAACATGAGTTCAAGATGTATTTTGTCACCTTAATTCTGACTGTGAATAATAATTCTGGTATGCTAATCCTGATTGGTGGCCGTATTGGTAGAACAGTAAACTGACTCTTATTTCTCATTGACACAGTTATAAACAGATAACCATTTAATGAATACAAAATTATGAATGTTACAGAAATGGGAGGCAAACACATAAACCGTAAGAGTGTATCAGAATATACTTATAATTTACAGTTGAAATTTACATGACAAAATAACACCTTAATACGAAAAATTTGATTTAGATCACCTCTGTTAACTATCAAATGACTGACTTCTCCCTATTTTAAGTTTATGAAAGAGAATTTTGTTTTATTTTGGTTCTCTTTATATCATTCGGTTCTTGAATTAAAATATTTCAGCTGGGACATGAAATATTTTTATGCTGATTTCGAAAATTCCATATACCGACAAATATCATTAAGTGCATGTGTATGTGCATGTGTATGATACCTCACCTATATAATAGTATTGTGATTCTAACATAGATGACATATGTGTTTCATTCCAAAAAGACAGAATCAGGTTTTGTTTTAGCCACATATAAATAACAAAATATTTCTGTTAGGAGTACAATAACTTAGACTAACACTACACGGAAATGGTTATAATTCACCAATATATGTGCCTCAACTTAAATATGCCACTATCCGGATTCAAGATATATGTCGAAATATAATAATATCCACGATTTACAATAACGTCTAAAATAATCTTACCCCATATCTATCTTCATCCCAATTGCCAATAAGTACACCCGGTGAGTATTTTTGTTCTATTCTCCATCCAGGCATATGCCATTTACGAGGATCTCCTTGAGCCATTTTTTATTGGTTCCTTTTTTATTTTTTATCAAAAGTTTTTTATCAATAAACAATCACTTTCGTATACATGGATATTGCGGGAAATTTTGACAGATGACAGAAATATTACTACGCGTATCGAATTCAAAATAACATTTCGGACAATATATTTTTATTAATGGTGCCTGTTAAACTTCAAACTTATTGTTTTATACAAAAGTAACGATTTCAGTGCCGTGAAAGTACCAGGGGATATGTAAATATATTTACTAATTAGGCACTATTTTTCTATTCCAGATTGGTAATGCGGTTCTGATTACGACGTTGCTAAGGAATCACGTGTCAGTCAGACACAATATAAAATTTAAATTCAAACGAATATTTATTTATATCAATTTATTAAATTGAGATTTTTGCAATTGTAAATATTGAAAATGATTTATGTTTTATTTTGTATATTTATTAAGAAAAATTCTTTTGTATAACATAAAAATGAAACATGCTATTTTGTAAAAGATATATTTCGTTCAAAAATAATTTTTGAAATTGTAATTAAAAATGGCAGCCCTCAGGAAAAACATGCAATGTTTCAGAAAATTGAGCAAAGTTTGTAGTAATTGCTGCGACACAGGCTTAGCCAGATATTTTCAAACAAGTAGAGTCGGTAATTATCACTTTTTGGACTTCAGCAACACGCAAATAAGACCTGCTAGTTTTAAGCAACTTACAATTATTTTATTATTAGTTTCCCACCTACGCAGAGGTGTACTGGTAAGAAATCCAGGTAATCTAGCATGTATATAATTTAAAAATTTTGTTGATAGGTAAATATGACAAATAGATAAAAAACCAACTCAAATTTAAATATAATCGATACATGTTTCACTTTATTAGCCTCGTCAGTTGATAGGTAAAGAAATTATTATTGATGGGCCGATAAGCTGGTATAATGAAACAGATTAACTACTAGAAAAGCCCAACTGATTCCTATAATCGATTGTGTTTTTTCGGGGTAGATTATCGGATAGTGGGTACAAATACAGACTGGACTGGGACGGGAAATTTCAAAAGATTCGACTTTAATGTTAGTCTTCAGTATTATATTTTGGAACTTAACAGCTGTGTTTGTGTACTGTTTTGCTAATATATCCTTTCCGCTAAAGAAAGAACCTGAGCCTGTCCACGTGTTTAAAGTATCTGAAATATCATATGATTAATGCTAAACGGTTAAAACTGAAGTATGCCAGCCAACGTAGCATTATTATTTCGTTGCAATTATCAAAATTATGAAAATTGACTTAACATCATACAGTTAGGCACAGCTGTCAATACGGCAGCGCCCCATGATAGCGTCAAACAATAATTTCCCAAGAATTAGCAAAACTTTGATAGATTTTCATATTTTATAACAGTATGTCCTATTGAATCTATCTATCGACAAGGAACAAAAATGCTGGGACATTTCCGTATCCATTATGTAATATAAGTTGAAAGAACTTTATTTTATATGTAACTTGATTTTTTTAGTGACACATTCAATGTACATGTAAAATGTAAAACAGTTTTTTATGTGAATAAATTATTGCTGTTCTTTGCTAATTGTCTAGAAAACAAATAATTATAAATTAGATGTTAACTGTCTTGTTGTAAATTGTTTTTAGAAGAGTAAAGAGAAGTCAATTCTCACAATGCCAGCTACCGTATGTATACACCAGATTGTAATTATGCTCCCACTTCAAAGAAGTTTCAAAATGGTTTCCAAGTGATAACTGAAGAACGTTTAGGCCTAGGAACTTCAAACTTGGTATGGTGATTGGTCATGACCAGTAGATGACCCCTATTGATTTTGGGGTCAAAGGTCAAGGTCACTTTGACCTTGTAGGTAAAAACGGTTTCTGATCAATAACAAAAGAACACTTAGGCCTAGGAACTTCAAACTTTATATGATGATTGGTCATGACCAGTAGATGACCCCTAGCGATTTTGGGGTCAAGGGGTCAGTGTCAAATTGACCTTGTACTTTAAGATGGTTTCTGACCAATAACTCAACAAGTCAAGTTGCCTTGGTTGATATTTTTATATTAAACTAAAAATGCTTTTGGTATATACATTTGAAGGTCTTATGATATATTACAACTTGGCTGTCATTAATGAGGCCTACATGATTCATAAAATTTATGCATATTTTATTTGGTAAGATTTGTAATAACTTAAATTGCTGCACACAACCTATGGAGTCACAATAATTATTACCTTGTGACTTGTCATGACCAGAACTAATCCTTATTAATTTTTTGTTCACTGGGTCAGAAGTCATGCATAATAACCTGATCACATGACTAATTGGCTGCCAACAGGGGGCATACATGTTTTACAAACATATCTTGTTATGCCCCCATTTCGAAGAAAAGGGGGTATATTGCTTTGCACTTGTCGGTCCGTCGGTCCGTAGACCAAATGGTTTCCGAGTGATTACTAAAGAACCCTTAGGCCTAGGAACTTCAAACTTGGTATGGTGATTGGTCATGACAAGTAGATGACCCCTATTGATTTTGGGGTCAAGGGGTCAAAGGTCAAGGTCACATTGACCTTGTAAGCAAAAACGGTTTCCGATCAATAACTAAAGAACCTTAAGGCCTAGGAACTTCAAACTTGGTATGGTGATTTGTCATGATCAGTAGATGACCCCTATTGATTTTGGGGTCAAGGGGTCAAAGGTCAAGGTCACATTGACCTTGTAAGCAAAAACGGTTTCCGATCAATAACAAAAGAACCCTTAGGCCTAGGAACTTCAAACTTGGTATGGTGATTGGTTATGACCAGCAGATGACCCCTATTGATTTTGGGGTTAAGTGGTCAAAGGTCAAGGTCACATTGACCTTGTAGGTAAAAACGGTTTCCGATCAATAACGAAAGAACCCTTAGGCCTAGGGACTTCAAACTTGATATGGTGATTGGTCATGATCAGTAGATGACCCCTATTGATTTTGGGGTTAAGGGGTCAAAGGTCAAGGTCACATTGACCTTGTAGGTAAAAACGGTTTCCGATCAATAACGAAAGAACCCTTAGGCCTAGGGACTTCAAACTTGATATGGTGATTGGTCATGATCAGTAGATGACCCCTATTGATTTTGGGGTCAAGGGGTCAAAGGTCAAGGTCACATTGACCTTGTAGGTAAAAACGGTTTCCGATCAATAACTAAAGAACCCTTAGGCCTAGGGACTTCAAACTTGATATGGTGATTGGTCATGATCAGTAGATGACCCCTATTGATTTTGGGGTCAAGGGGTCAAAGGTCAAGGTCACATTGACCTCTTAGGTAAAAGCAGTTTCCGATCAATAACTAAAGAACCCTTAGGCCTAGGAACTTCAAATTTGGTATGGTGATTGGTCATGACAGGCAGATGACCCCTACTGATTTTGGGGTTAAGGGGTCAAAGGGCAAGGTCACATTGACCTTGTAGGTAAAAATGCTTTCCGATCAATAACTTAAGAACCCTTAGGCCTAGGAACTTCAAACTTGGTATGGTGATTGGTCATGACCAGCAGATGACCTATTGTTGTTAGGGTCAAGGGGTCAAAGGTCATGTAACATTGACCTTGTAGGTAAAAACGGTTTCCGATCAATTAACTAAAAACGCTGAGGCCTAGGAACTTCAAACTTTGTATGATGATTGGTGGTGACCAGCAGATGACCCCTATTGAGTTTTGGGTCAAGGGGTCAAAGGTCAAGGTCACATCGACCTTGTAAGTAAAAACGGTTTCTGATCAAAACTTAAGAACGCTTAGGCCTAGGAACTTCAAACTTGGTATGGTGATTTTTTATGACCAGCAGATTATCCCTTTCGATTTTGGGATCAAGGGGTCAAAGGTCAAGGTCACATTGACCTTGTAAGTAAAAACGGTTTCTGATCAATAACTAAAGAACGCTTCGGCCTAGGAACTTCAAACTTGGCATAGTGATTGGTCATGATCAGCAGATGACCCCTATTGATTTTGGGGTCAAAGGTCAAGGTCACATTGACCTTGTATGTTAAAACGGTTTCGGATCAATAATAAAAGAACCCTTAGGCCTAGGAACTTCAAACTTGGTATGGTGATTAGTCATGACCAGCAAATGACCCCTATTGATTTTGGGGTCAAGGGGTCAAAGGTCAAGGTCACATTGACCTTGTAAGTAAAAACGGTTTCTGATCAATTAACTAAAAACGCTTAGGCCTAGGAACTTCAAACTTTGTATGATGATTGGTCTTGACCAGCAGATGACCCCTATTGAGTTTTGGGTCAAGGGGTCAAAGGTCAAGGTCATGACCAGTAGATACTTGATAACCCTTATTAATTGTTTGATCACTGGGTCAGAAGTCATGCATAATTACCTTATCACATGAATAATTGGCTGCTGATAGGGGGCATACATGTTTTACAAACATATCTTGTTTATTGTGGTGTCCCAATCTGTTTGCATCTCATGACTAAACAAATTCCTGTTAACCTGAAACCAGCTGAATAACATATGCTTGAGTTCTTTACTCTTTCAAAAGATAATTAGAATTTTAATTAAAACAGTCACTTTTGAATTATCTGAAGAAACATATTAAATAACAAGTATTTTTCCGATATATCACATCTGTTTACTAACCAATTCCAACTGATAATCAGTTGCAGTTCTCCAACGGATATCCCATCACTAGAAATTAGTATATCTTTTGATTTGATTTGTTTTTAAATATACACATGTTTTCTTTAGCCTGACGCAGTCCCATTTTTGACTTCCCAGAATAAAAAGATTTTGCAATTTTTATATGCCTGAAAGGGCATATTACGTTATACCCCCTGGCGTTCGTCTGTCTGTCCGTCCGTTAGCAATTTGGTTTCCGGAGCATAACTTAAGTTCAATTTGGCCCACAATGTTCAAACTTCATAGGATGATTGTCCATATTAGGTAAGAGACCCCTATTGATTTTGAGGTCAAAGGTCAAGGTCACTATAAGCTTAATACTGAAAACAGTTTCCGAGGCATAACTTAAGTTCCATTTGGCCCACAATATTCAAACTTCATAGGATGATTGTCCATATTGGGAAAAAGACCCCTATTGTTTTTGGGGTCACTATTCAAAGGTCAAGGTCACTATAACCTTAATACTGAAAACAGTTTCTGGAGCATAACATAAGTTTCATTTGGCCCACTATATTCAAAATTCAATGGATGATTGTCCATATTGGGTAGAAGACCCCTATTGATTTTGGGGTCACAAGGTTAAAGGTCAAAATCACTTTTACCTTTATACTGAAAACAGTTTCTAGAACATAACTTTAGTTCCATTTGGCCCACAATATTCAAACTTCATAGTTTGATTGTGCATATTGGATCGAAGACCTCTATTGATTTTTGGGTCACAAGGTAAAAATAAAAAACAGTTTCGGGAGCATAGATGAAGTTCCATTTGGCACACGATATTCAAACTTCTTAGAATGATTGTCCATATAAGGTAGAAGACCCCTATTGATTTTGGGTCACAAGGTCAAAGGTTAAGGTCATTATTAATAACTTCAGTATTAATCAACCTACAGCTGTAAAATTTTATAGGAGGAACAGCTACTTCCCATGTCTTACAAATGCTTCATCCTTACTAAAAAAAAAAAAAAAAACACATTCGGGCATATAATGCTCCGCCTAGCGGTGCTCTTGTTTAATATGCCATTTACAAGCATCTCCTTGAGCCATTTTTATTATCAAAATATTTTTATCAATAAACAATCACTTAATGAATATTGTGGGAATTTTTGAAAGATGACAGACAGTAATATCATGTGTACAGCATTCAAAATAACATTGCCAACAACATATTTTTATTAATGAAGCCTGTAAAACCTTAAATGTCTTGTTTTAATCATTCGTATAGGTAAAATAGTACTAAATAAGTGCATTACCTAGTATATACAAATGCCTTTAATAAACTTAATAAGGCCATAAGCGAGACATCATTGACTTCAAGTTCAAACCACAAGCCTATGGATTCTTTCATGTGAGAAAGCTATCCAGTTAACATATGGATAATGGAGCAGCGATGGTTCTACTCAGGTGCTTGTTCATGCCTAAAATCATGCATGGAGCTGAAAGTAGCCATATGACCTAAAAATTAACAGTTTTGGTGTGAAGTTATAAACCCAATCAAAAATAATCATAATAATTACAGTTTTGTTTCAAATTAATTTTGTGCTTGTTATTTAATCATGACAGCTTTCTGTATGTTAGGTTAAGCACTTATTAACATGATGATTACTATGCTCCCTTCGCAGCTTACTGAATACATAATGATTCACCAAAACTTGGGGTTATTGGCTCTGTAATTGTGACTTACTTCAATGTTTTCATTAAATGATTAATTGTACCGGGTATTAGAATTTCAGCAGGGGAGATAAGCAGTCTAATTATTATTTTTCAGTGTTATTTGACGAGGATCCACTTACGTACTTCAATGATAAAAAAGTCAATTATATTCTGCGGAAAATCACTGGAGATGATACAAAAAAGGCAATCTATAAACACAAAATTGAAAAGGCTGTTACACCAAAGTACCTGGTTCTTACTGATAAGGAATTGCAAAAGGTAGAAATCTTGTTTGATTTGTTAGTTCAAGTATTTTTAGCCTGCCACCCTCCAGGACTGAAGGTTCTGTATTGGAGGGGGATATTCAATTATCCTGCTCCAATCAATTAATGGGCAGGCTTATTTCAGGTTTGATGTTCACACGTAGCATCATGGTGATACTGAATAGTTAAACTGCAATTTGCTCATTGTACCAATCAGCCTCTTTAAGAGGTCATCAGAACTAAAATTGAAGTACAGGTTTCGTTTTCTTTTTCCAGTCTGATACAGGTATGGATCATTACCAAACTTGTTCGAGGAAAAAATGTGGTCACAAAACAAAGACATTGTGTTTAAAGTAGACTGCTCTTGTTCAAGGGGCAGGACGTGAAGTGGTTGCACACTTGGTTCAAGCGAGCGAATTGGTTGCAAACTTTACAAAATGGCAAACACGGCGTGATTTTTTGAAACGGGTGAACAAATTTTTGCCAGGCAAGTGGGTTTCTTTGTTATTTTGAAGTTCATTAGTATGTCTATTCCATAATGCAATATATATACCACACTCTGTTTAAGGTTTCAGCATCCAAGATTCTGTTTTGACGAAGTTATTGAAGATATAAACTGATCATGTAGATATTTTGAAATTTGACATGTGACTGTTCTGGGCGTTTTTTCTCCTAATTTATTCGAATTTGTAAGTTTTGAACTGTATTTAACAATAACAAAATATGTTTCTGTCAATGCTGTACAAATGGTTTAGTTCGCAAGTCCGAAGATAACATTCAATACACAAAAAATTATTGTTCAAGCACATTTTGCATATACAATGTATATTGCATTATGGAATAGACATACTAATAAACTTCAAAATAACAAAGAAACCCACTTGCCTGGTAAAAATTTGTTCACCTGTTTCAAAAAATCACGCCGTGTTTGCCATTTTGTCAAGTTTGCAACCAATTCGCTCGCTTGAACCAAGTGTGCAACCACTTCACGTCCTGCCCCTTGTTGTTGTTTACTATAAAACTGGCAATAAAAAAAAGTACAAAAGTCACCTACTCTTGAAATATTTTTTTATTGTATTAAACCCTGTTTTGTAAAGATACCAGCTCATTTCATATTGATTGGAATTAAATATTTGATGTCAAAAGTAGAAAGTTTACTGATAAAGTATGTTGGCAAAAACTATTACGGGTTAACAATGGGTGGGGTTTTTTTGTTTTGTTTTTTCTTTATTTTTTGTGAAAATTGGCAAGAGCAAAATTTATTATGTATTTTTTTTTTTCAAGAGCAAAATTAAAATAAATGCAAAGACCGTAACAATTTTTATACAACTTATGTATATAGAGTTCAATAAACAATGATTGAGGTGATACTGATATATTTTACCCACTGTTTATAGACCATGACCAAGGCGGAGGGAATAAAAAAGCGACGTCTACAGATGCCTCCATTTATGAAGTGCCGAGAGGACCGGGATAAACTTTTAGAGGATGACCCTGACATTGCCAGCATCCTTGAATCAAAATATGTGTTTTTTGACATTACAGATGATAATTCGAGATACAAGGTTTGTAAAAGTTTTTGTTAATAATTGTTTAATACTTGGTTATTAATTAATCTATCAAACATATTTCATGTTTGTCTGTTGTGAGTTAGAATAGCATTTTGTTAAGGAATATTTGGTTCCTTCATTCAAACAGAATGATTATGAACCATATATTTTCACCTTAGTGCAATAACTATATATATTGGTTTTGTCATGACGCGGCTCAAATGGTTTTGTAATGATTGAAAGATGAACACGCTCAAGATATTAAGCGCTGCAAAGAATTATTATTTTATTCAATTATTTTTATTTTTGCATATCATTATCAGAGGTATGGAGAACGTCCAATGGTAATACGGCACAGGAATGGGAAGTTAAAAATGGCGGACTGGCATACGTATGACAGAGTATCACAAATTTATAATCCTTTTCCTGGGAGAGAGATTTATATGCCAAAAATGTTCAAGGAGGACCACTTAGAGGTAAATTGTTTGTTTGTTTTTTTATTTGTTTGAATCGTCAGACCAAACAAATACTGGTAAGGAAAAATATTTGACCCTGATGTGCTTATTTGCAAAAGCCTAAAGTAGTCTAAACTCCTTGAAGCGGTTACTTACCTTTATATGTACACTAACGCCAAAAAATTAAGGGGAGATCACCAGTAAAGATTGTGAATTTACAGGCGCATTAGTTTTCAAGCCTTCTCGGGGAAGAAAAAATAGTTATTGATTGGTCATTATGTTATTCTTTATAGATATAATATATTATATTAAGCTCCATGATTTTTATGCCCCCACAATGTGGGAGCATATAGTGTTGCACTTGTCCGTCCGTCCGTCAATCTGTCCGTCCGTACGTCCCGAAATCTTGTGAACGCAACTCCTCTTAAACCGGATGGCAGATTTTGCTTAAACTTACAGGGATGAACAACCTTAATGTGTAGATGGTAGTAAAGGAAGGAATTTTCGCTGCGACCAAATTTAACAGAATTATGGCCCTTTGTTGATTTTTTCACTATATACTATTTAGAAATTTTGTGAACACAACTCCTCTTAAACCGGATGGCAGATTTTGCTTAAACTTACAGGGATGAACAACCTTAATGTGGAGATAATCGTAAAGGAAGGAGATTTTGCTGCGACCTAATTTAACAGAATTATGGCCCTTTGTTGATTTTTTCACTAGATACTATGTAGAAATTTTGTGAACGCAACTCCTCTTAAACCGGATGGCAGATTTTGCTTAAACTTACAGGGATGAACAACCTTAATGTGTAGATGGTAGTAAAGGAAGGAAATTTTGCTGTGACCAAATTTAACAGTATTATGGCCCTTTGTTGATTTTTTCACTATATACTATTTAGAAATTTTGTGAACACAACTCCTCTTAAACCGGATGGCAGATTTTGCTTAAACTTACAGGGATGAACAACCTTAATGTGGAGATAATCGTAAAGGAAGGAGATTTTGCTGCGACCTAATTTAACAGAATTATGGCCCTTTGTTGATTTTTTCACTATATACTATGTAGAAATTTTGTGAACGCAACTCCTCTTAAACCGGATGGCAGATTTTGCTTTAACCTACAGGGATGAACAACCTTAATGTGTAGATGGTAGTAAAGGAAGGAATTTTTACTGCAACCAAATTTAACAGAATTATGGCCCTTTGTTGATTTTTTCATTATATACTATGTAGAAATTTTGTGAACGCCCATTTTACCGCCCACTAAATCATCGTAAATAAACGTATTTTCCGCTCATTTTCGGTATTTACCGTCGCGTAGTTTCCGTTTATCATACCTTTTAGGTGTTTAGTTACTAAACATAATTCACTTGCATGATTGCCTACAATCAACATCAGCGGACTTTAAAGGAATATAGGCATATAAGATTTAAAACGTTGTAGACACCACATTTCCTGCAAAAAGAAACTTAAAAAAAAAACAATAAAAACACCAGGTTACATACTGTCTGAGGTTAAATATTTTTCAAAGAAGTGAAAACTATTGAAAAGACTATATTCAACTACAAATAAATTTTACTGATGGTAATCCAATTAGCATAGGAATGAGTAACATTTACAGATAAGCTGCTACCTTACCACTTTCAAATTTTCAAGTCAACATCTGATAAAGATTTTGATACGACTAATTACTAATACAGACCAAATTCTGGCTGTTGTCTTTCCCAGTAGTACTATTATATTAGTAACCTTAATTCTAGCGTATGACTTGACAATAAAAAAAACCTTTAAGAATAGTAAAATTATAACCAAACCAAAGTTGTATGTACCCTTTCGTACATAACTTTTTATTTTTACCATATATTTTCCCATTTTTCCCATTTTATTTTTCCGTAAGTAATCTTTAAATGAGTCCAAATGTATGTATGTTGATTATCAATTTATGTATACCTTGTTTATTTTATCTCTTAGAAAGCCATCATTTACAAAACTTAATAAATATTCTGTGTAGTATTTCATGTACATAAAAGTAGTTCTCTGTTTTTGATCATATAGACAGCAAATCTAGACAGCAAATCTAGGTAACAGCTAATGACAGCATGTATACACATATTTTAGAGGTGCTATTGAATCAGCACAATGCATAAAAAGACCTTAACCTACGCCAATTTACATATATTTAACAATAAAAGGCTTAATCACATCCTATGACTCAAAATACCTCCCAATGGAGGTTGTTGCCAGGATACACTGAATATTTATTTCAACATTAAAATGGGACAAATTCACAAGCTTTGGTTATACAACGGAATTATCGATAGTAAACTTTGCATTGTTTCGTGGTTATACACTTGGTCACTATAAGTTTTTCTACAACCCAACATAGTCCTTTAAAGAAAGAAGGCACAGGCTTATTGTTCAGTTCTCTTTATTCGTGTTGCCAAAAGTGCCTTCCATGTATCGCATTCTAGTACTATTTGCTGAAGGTAAAAAAAAAAGAGATGCCATAGAGTATCGCCGTGGCTCACAATACCCAACGTTTGGTATTAAAGGATAGTGGTGTGTGCCATTATATATGGGAAACATTTCCTTATGTTATTTCACCAGCTTTAGTTTTTGCATATTATTATGCTCATTATCAGTAAATACGTTGTTACATTTTTACATTATATCTTAACCAATTTTGCATTACTTGAATATCCTGTAGTAGAATACGTTTTAACAAAATCAGAGGATGTTCAAAGTCAAGATTGATGTAACAGTTTCTATATAATTTGAAATATTTTTGTACCAGCAAGAGTTACCTCTCTTTATATTCTGCTTTTGTGAAATTGGCTCCGCCTCTTAATTTTCGTCTATTTCCGTGATAATTCCATATATGGAAGTTGCAAAATCGTTTACAAATGTTTATCGCGTTAGAATGTAAAAGGAAAGTGTGGTGTTGTAAACCTGAGTGTGTCAAGTTGATACAGTTACATTCTCAATGTCATGATGCACAGCATTAAACGTATTGTGTACGTTCTATCGTTTACATTTCTACATGTCGCAAATTTGAAGTTATACATTTATAAATACAGTTTGCAATTTATCTAAGTTGCATGTTAACAGCTTTCATTTTATCAAATCGAGATAATTAAAATGCTTAATACCAGTGCAGTATGTAACTCTCGCATTGACAATTAGATTTTTACTAATCTGTTTAGTAGAACCGAAGTATGCATTGTCAAGTTTCAAAGGCTGGATTTTTGGCAACGAATAGCCTCTATAGGTATAAAGGAGTTTCTGAAATGTGTTTATGATTTATCGCCTGCCAGTATGAGTATCATTATGGTATACTATAGAGTTATGTCACTGAAAAACAGAACACAGGATTCAAAAGGGATTTTATTTCGTTATGTTGTGTTTTAGGAATATGTTTTGTAAAATAGTGCTTTGATTCATGTATAGTACAGTTAAACCAGTGTTAAAGATTGCATCTGACAGTCCAACCTTAAGTAGAACAGAGTAACCTCAAAATACAGACCACTTCAACTTCTCTATAAAGGTCATGTTAAGTCTCTCCTTTGGGTGGCCTTCGTTTGTGGGTGTGACTGTAATCAGAATAATAATGTTAATATAAGTTTTGTTATGTAAAGCATTATACATGTGTTCATTTCAGGAATTATTAGACACATACCAGAACTATTTATACATTCTGGAGAGAGCATGTGTCCAGTTTGAGCCAGACAGTAGTGATTTTATCAGGGTACGTAAATGCTTTGTTTAGTTTGTTTTCATTGCCATACCCGTTTAGATACATAAAAGTGGCCAGGAAATCAACAGTGTTTGTACAGTTTTACCGCTTTTACGGAGGGATTAAACTTGAGTGTCTTCCTTAAAAATGAAAAAAAAAACTCAAGTCTTTGAACTTGGCCAGTCTGTCAATTGGTTTAAAATTTGTCTGAAAATGTGCCTGAAAAGATGAGAGAGTCTTGGTAAAAAGTTGATAGTGTGCAACAAATATTAAGCCCATTTTGTACCAGAATCAATAATGTTTGTATTTCTTAAAATTTCACATAATATTCATAACCAAAAGTGATAAAGTAGTCAAAATAAAGTCTTCTTCAATGTTGTATCATAAAAGACTTGTTATAGTAAATACTTAATCGGTTAACAAAAAGTGCTTTAAAAGTGCAAAGATTTTGGCATTGAATATCTCTTTAAACCCAGCTCATTCAACGATATACAATGAACTTAGTTTCTTAGTTAACACCTCATAATCCACTTCAAATGAATATTAGTTTTCTGCAAAATTAGCTGAAAAAGAATTTTGAAAAGAAATGTTTTTAACATTTTTAACATTTAACATTAATGTTTTATGAACATTTTTATTTTTGCAACACACAGGCTTTATAGTTTAACCCATCCTTTTTCAATCTTTCATGAATTTCCAGGTGACACACAGAATCTACGAGCATATAGCAGAGCATGGCTGTTTTGATGTGTTACGATCAACTCGGTTCTTTGGCCCCATGGCATTCTACTTTGCAATGATTAACAAGATTGAGCCATTAATGGCTGACATGATTGACAGGAACTTGTAAGTGAAGAGTTTGTGAAGTCTTGTATGAATAATGGTTCACAAAATTTATTGAGTTTGTGCAGTATCGTACTCATTTCTGTATTCGCTCACTGCTCTAAGTTTATGTAACTCCTGAAATATGATGAGAAAGTTAATATTTACTTATGGTTATATAATTGAATATCCATTGAATACCTTCAGTGGCGGGTCTTCTGTGACAGAGTGGTTAAGGTTGCCGACCTCAAATCACTGGCCCCCCTACTGCTGATGTTTCGGTTATTTCATGTAAGAAGCTATCCAGCTAGCTTATGGAAGGTCAGTGGTTCTACACAGGTGCTCACATTTGCATAAAGTAATGCACAGAGGACCAAATAAATTTTTATTTGGACAAAACCGTTTATCATTTTGAGGAAGAATTTCAAAATATTTACTTTTTTTCCCTATCCCACTGGTCCATATATGGGCCCCATTCCCCAACCAAATTATGGGTTTTTTTCCCAATCCCATAAAAAAAATCCCAATCTAGAAGTCTGCAATTTAAAAGAAAAAGCACCGCATTTCAATTTTGGTGTCACGAAATAGCATTTCGGAATATATTCATGTTTTGTGAATAAAAACAGGATTTTTAATTGATATCAGTTTTACATTTGTACACATTTTAGCCTGTCCTTGTATTTTTGATATGACAGAAAAAGCTGAACAGTTTAAGTAAGATTTATTTAGATTTATTTTAACAATTGTAACACCTTGAATGCTAGCATATTTTCCCAAATTGGCAAATTTCACGATAACTTTTTTTCCCAAATTGGAAAATTTTACGACACAAATTACCCAAATTTGCCATGTGGCATTTGCCCAAAATAGAGGAAAAAGGCCTGTATTTACTGACAGAATAGCTCACATTGCATACTGTAATGATGACCCCTTTACCCTCCTCTGGATTTGTGCATGATGTAAATGTAACTGAAAATGTGACAAAAGTAATGTACCGTATATGAATATTTCTCAATACAATAAGTTATTTGTTATTATAGATTGCTTAATATAAATGTAGTGAACAATTTAATTTCATACTTACAGACTGTCAGATGCAGTTGATTTAATAAATTTGAAGAAAATACTTCATAAAGAGTCTGAAATGCATACTCAGGGTAGAGAGATTCTTATGATTATTCAGGTAAGCTTGAATTTTAAACTTTTAATCCTTTTAAAAAAAAAAATCTGTTTAAATATTATCTCATTTAAATTATGTGTTTGTACAGGCGCCAATGAAAAATTGTGTCAATTTATAATTCCTTTCCTTAGTTTTTCCTCAATTTTATATTAACATGGTAAGAGTAAAAAGGAAAAATATCTCACAGGTTAGGGAAGCAGCCCTGCCCTTAATTTTGGGGAAAAATTACACCGTATATTTGCAAAAGGGAAGAAAAAACATGATGTTAATTCAATTTTTGGGGAAAATTGCGTGATTTTAAAGAATTTTTCTTTGGGGAAGCAGCCCTATAACGGCCCCTGCTATAGAAGGACAAAAAGCCCTGTATCTGCTTGGTAAATGCAGACTACAATTCACAATACATGTACATAGCCATAAAATGATTTCTTAGTCCAAGCTACCCAATTTTGTCCAAATTTTGTTTCTGGTATTTAAAAGTTATATATAAAGTCTTGAGAAATGTAGTGAAATATGGTTTTTATTGACAGATGGCCTCTTCCAAGAGGTCGTCTTGAAATTTTGTCTTAAACAAAGTAACTAAAATGTGCATGCATACAAGCTTATAGTTCGCACCTACGTCAAGTGGTAAACAATTCCTGGAAAAAAAAAATTCTAGTTCTATTGTGTCATTAAAAATCATTGTGGTCCAAATATTGTCTTAACATTATGTTGCATTGCAGTAAAATGTGTTAAAATGTTTAAAACAAATAATTGGATGTTAATTCAATTAAAATACTTGAAGAAAGACATGAAATATATGTAGAGCCATTATTAGCGCCTCTTTTCATGAAAATAAGCATGAATCTGGAGGCATGCTGCTTTAATAATAAGGTCATGGTTAATAAGTAATCTGTCATTCTGTAAATTGTTAAGGGGTGGTTACCAGAGGTTTGTAATTTCTTTATTTTTTCTCTGTTGATAGGATTTCTATAATAATGAAGCTAATAAGAAACACATACATGTGTTAGAGGAGGCCCTGGGAAGGTTAGAAAAGAGACTTGAAGAGCGCCTACAGGAGGAACAGAGTAACTGAGTGTCAGGATAATAGCTGCCGGAGAAATTGCCATGAAATTAACATTGAAGATCAATCTAGTTTGTTGTCAGAAAAATTATATTCTAACAGTATTGTTTGGGCAGTAGTCAGTTGTGAATTGTGGATTTGTTTTTAGTAAATTCATGTTATATAATAAAAAGAGAGAAAAAAACAAACACTTTTTATCTTAAATGCAACAAAAAAGTGATATCTGTTCATTTTGTACTTCAAATTTTTTTTATTAGAGTTTAATAATCAGAGGTTTATCTTCGCAGAGAGCCTTCTTTTATTGGATGGTATCAAAGATATTTGTGATGTAGATATTTATTACAAAGATATTTGTGACGAAGATATTTGTGACGAAGATATTTGGGATGAAAATATTTGTGGAGAAGATTTTTGTTACAAAAGTTGCTATTGCATTAACACTACCAAATAGATTTTTATACATTTTTAGCTCACCTGTCACAAAGCGACAGGGTGAGCTTTTGTGATCGCTTTTCGTCCGGCGTCCGTCCGTCCGTCCGTAAACTTTTACTTTAAATGACATCTCCTCATAAACCACTAAGCCAATTTCATCGAAACTTCACAGGAATGTTCCTTTGGTGGTCACCTTTAAAAATTGTTCAAAGAATTTAATTCCATGCAGAACTCTGGTTGCCATGGCAACCAAAAGAAATATTTTTAAATATCTTCTTTTAAAAAACCATAAGAGCTAGAGCTTAGATATTTGGCATGAAACATCTTCTAGTGAGTGTCTACAAAGTTTGTTCAAATAAAAGCCCTGGGGTCAAAATTGGCCCCGCCCCGGGGGGGGTCATTGATTTTCCCTATATACATATAGTAAAAACTTAAAAAATCTTCTTTTAAAGAACCAAAAGAGCTACAGCTCAGATATTTAGCATGAAACATGTTCTAATGGGTGTCTACCAATTTTGTTCAAATAAAAGCCCTGGGGTCAAAATTGGCCCCACCCTAGGGGGTCATTGATTTTCCCTATATGCATATAGTAAAAACTTAAAAAATCTTCTTTTAAAGAACTCAAAGAGCTATGGCTAAGATATTTAGCATCAAACATGTTCTTATAGGTGTCTACGAAGTTTGTTCAAATAAAAGCCCTGGGGTCAAAATTGGCCCCGCCCCAGGGGGGGTCATTGATTTTCCCTATATGCATATAGTAAAAACTTAAAAAATCTTCTTTTAAAGAACCAAAAGAGCTAGAGCTAAGATATTTAGCATGAAACATGTTCTAATGGGTGTCTACCAAGTTTGTTCAAATAAAAGCCCTGGGGTCAGAATTGACCCCGCCCCGGGGGGTCATTGATTTTCCCTATATGCATATAGTAAAAACTTAAAAAATCTTCTTTTAAAGAACTCAAAGAGCTATGGCTAAGATATTGAGCATCAAACATGTTCTAATAGGTGTCTACCAAGTTTGTTCAAATAAAAGCCCTTTGGTCAAAATTGGCCCCACCCCAGGGGGTCATTGATTTTCCCTATATGCATATAGTAAAAACTTAAAAAATCTTCTTTTAAAGAACCAAAAGAGTTAAAGCTAAGATATTTAGCATGAAACATGTTCTAATAAGTGTCTACCTAGTTTGTTCAAATAAAAGCCCTGGGGTCAAAATTGGCCCCGCCCCGGGGGATCATTGATTTTCCCTATATGCATATAGTAAAAACTTAAAAAGATCTTCTTTTAAAGAACTCAAAGAGCTATGGCTAAGATATTTAGCATCAAACATGTTTGTAATAGGTGTCTACCAAGTTTGTTCAAATAAAAGCCCTGGGGTCAAAATTGGCACCGCCCCGGGGGTCATTGATTTTCCTTAAATGTGTATAGCAAAAACTTAAAAAGTCTTCTTTGAAAAAACCCAAATAGCTAGAGTTAAGATATTAAGCATGAAACATCTTTTAGTGAGTGTCTACAAAGTTTGTTCAAATAAAAGACCTGGGGTCAAAATTGGCCCCGCCCCGGGGGTCATTGATTTTCTTTATATGTGTATAGCAAAAACTTAAAAATCTTCTTTGAAAAAACCCAAATAGCTAGAGTTTAGATATTAAGCATGAAACATGTTCTAGTAAGTGTCTACAAAGTTTGTTCAAATAAAAGCCCTGGGGTCAAAACTGGCCCGGCCCCAGGGGTGTCATTGTTTTTAACTATATGTGTATAGTAAAAACTTAAAAAAAAATCTTCTTTCAAATAGCCCAATGAGCTAGAGCTTAGATGTTTAGCATGAATTATCTTCTTATGGGTGTCTACCGAGTTTGTGCAAATAAAAGCCCTTGGGTTAAATTGGCCCTGCAACGTTGGGGGGGGGGGAGTGGGGTTGTGTGGCCTATATACAGGCGAGCGACCTCAGGGCCATCATGGCCCTCTTGTTTCTATTTTTTTGCCTATTCAAAACAGTGTCAAGGACTATTTTTTGTGCCACAGTAAGTCATATTTACCATGGGCAAATTTTTTTTTTACTACAAATATAATGTAGATTGAAATAGGGATGATTAAATTTGTTCATTTTGCATTAAAATTTTGTAAAACAGTTTGAATTTTTTATTTACTGAATAACAAGCAAAATGATTGTCATTTTGATTCAAACATTATTCAAATAGTTCTAGCACTATAAAAACATAAATGTTTATGTATGAATTTGTTTGCTAATCATAACACTTTCAAGAGCCACACCTGTGTGTTGCAGCCACCTGTATACAATGGCCACTCTGTGAATAAATGCCATTGTTTGATAAATCTTCACTTAGTCTAATAATTTGGAACAACTGAACTCCACTTAGTCTAATTGACCTTAGAATAAAAAATATCTGTCAGTGAAGTCAGATTTTATTTTTTTTCTTTCCAAAGAATGGTGCCTGTTCACAGGTTTTACTGTACATGTATTGTTAATATATAAGATACAAACAAATTTTGTTATTGAAATATGTGCTCCATAGTCAAAGGAACAAAAAGTAAAAGAAAAAACAAACAGAACATTTGTTTTATTTATTCATATGGTATTTAGTTATTTACACATCATTGAAGGTTGGTGCTGTCGTGGATTTTCAATTAGGCTCCATGCCCCAAGATGAACAAAAAAGATCAATCACCAGAATAATGTTTTAAGATTTTATGAAAAGTAGAAATATTTACAATTAAAATGATAATTTACATTTTTCATGCAATGCATTACTGATTTTGCAGGTTTTTTAGCTCACCTGTCACAAAGTGACAGGGTGAGCTTTTGTGATCGCTTTTCGTCCGGCGTCCGTCCGGCGTCCGTCCGTCCGTAAACTTTTACTTTAAATGACATCTCCTCATAAACCACTAAGCCAATTTCATCCAAACTTCACAGGAATGTTCCTTTGGTGGTCATCTTTAAAAATTGTTCAAAGAATTTAATTCCATGCAGAACGGTTGCCATGGCAACCAAAAGAAATTTTTTTAAATATCTTCTTTTAAAAACCCAAAGAGCTAGAGCTTAGATATTTGGCATGAAACATCTTCTAGTGAGTGTCTACCAAGTTTGTTCAAATAAAAGCCCTGGGGTCAAAATTGGCCCCGCCCTAGGGGGTCATTGATTTTCCCTATATGCATATAGTAAAAACTTAAAAAATCTTCTTTTAAAGAACCCATAGAGCTAGAGCTAAGATATTTAGCATGAAACATCTTCTAATGGGTGTCTACCAAGTTTGTTCAAATAAAAGCCCCGGGGTCAAAATTGGCCCCGCCCTAGGGGGTCATTGATTTTCCCTATATGCATATAGTAAAAACTTAAAAAATCTTCTTTTAAAGAACCCAAAGAGCTAGAGCTAAGATATTTAGCATGAAACATGTTCTAATGGGTGTCTACAAAGTTTGTTCAAATAAAAGACCTGGGGTCAAAATTGGCCCCGCCCCGGGGGTCATTGATTTTCCTCATATGTGTATAGCAAAAACTTAAAAAATCTTCTTTGAAAAAACCCATATAGCTAGAGTTTAGAAATTAAACATGAAACATCTTCTAGTGAGTGTCTACAAAGTTTGTTCAAATAAAAGCCCTGGGGTCAAAATTGGCCCCGCCCCAGGGGGTCATTGATTTTCCCTTTATGCATATAGTAAAAACTTAAAAAATCTTCTTTTAAAGAACCCAAAGAGCTAGAGCTAAGATATTAAACATGAAACATGTTCTAATGGGTGTCTACAAAGTTTGTTCAAATTAAAGCTATGGGGTCAAAATTGGCCCCGCCCCGGGGGTCATTGATTTTCCTTATATGTGTATAGCAAAAACTTAAAAAATCTTCTTTGAAAAAACCCAAATAGCTAGAGTTTAGATATTAAGCATGAAACATCTTCTAGTGAGTGTCTACCAAGTTTGTTCAAATAAAAGCCATGGGGTCAAAATTGGCCCCCCAGGGGGTCATTGATTTTCCCTATATGCATATAGTAAAAACTTAAAAGATCTTCTTTTAAAGAACCCATAGAGCTAGAGCTAAGATATTTAGCATGAAACATGTTCTAATGGGTGTCTACAAAGTTTGTTCAAATAAAAGCCCTGGGGTCAAAATTGGCCCCGCCCCGGGGGTCATTGATTTTCCTTATATGTGTATGGCAAAAACTTAAAAATCTTCTTTGAAAAAACCCAAATAGCTAGAGCTAAGATATTTAGCATGAAACATGTTCTAATGGGTGTCTACAAAGTTTGTTCAAATTAAAGCTATGGGGTCAAAATTGGCCCCGCCCCGGGGGTCATTGATTTTCCTTATATGTGTATAGCAAAAACTTAAAAAATCTTCTTTGAAAAAACCCAAATAGCTAGAGTTTAGATATTAAGCATGAAACATCTTCTAGTGAGTGTCTACCAAGTTTGTTCAAATAAAAGCCATGGGGTCAAAATTGGCCCCCCAGGGGGTCATTGATTTTCCCTATATGCATATAGTAAAAACTTAAAAGATCTTCTTTTAAAGAACCCATAGAGCTAGAGCTAAGATATTTAGCATGAAACATGTTCTAATGGGTGTCTACAAAGTTTGTTCAAATAAAAGCCCTGGGGTCAAAATTGGCCCCGCCCCGGGGGTCATTGATTTTCCTTATATGTGTATGGCAAAAAACTTAAAAATCTTCTTTGAAAAAACCCAAATAGCTAGAGTTTAGATATTAAGCATGAAACATCTTCTAGTAAGTGTCTACACAAAGATTTGTTCAAATAAAAGCCCCGGGGTTAAAAACTGGCCCCGCCCCCAGAAAGGTGTCATTTTTTTTAACTATATGTGTATAGTAAAAAACTTAAAAAAATCTTCTTTAAAAAACCCAATGAGCTAGAGGTTAGATTTTAAGCAGGAAACATCGTTTTGTTGGTGTCTACCAAGTTTGTCCAAATTAAAAGCCCTTGGGTTTAAATTGGCCGTGCTAAAGGAGGGGGGGGGGGGGCGGAGGTCAATTGTTTTTCATTATATGTGTGTTAGTAAAAACTTAACATCATGAAAACATCTTCTAATGGGTGTCTTCCAAGTTTGCTCTCAAATAAAAGCCCTTGGGTTTAAATTGGCCGTGCCAAAGGGGGGGGGTGGGGGGCGGAGGTCATTGTTTTTCATTATATGTGTGTAGTAAAAACTTAACATCATGAAACATCTTCTAATGGGTGTCTTCCAAGTTTGCTCAAATAAAAGCCCTGGGGTTTGAACTGGCCCCGCTCCGGGGGCCTATATACAGGTGAGCGACCTCAGGGCCATCATGGCCCTCTTGTTTCCTATATTTCTACTTGGTGACTAATGCAGTAGGGCCTTTTTTTTGTGCAAATTTTGACATTTATTTGGTAATTTACATGGATTGAAAGTGGCCGTTTGCAATGTGTAAACTAAATCACTTTTTTCACTTGGAAATCTTTAACTTTTTAATACATTTTCAAATTTTTCATTTAGATTAAATTGAATCTGGGGGGCATCCTTCTTCAGCGACTGCTAGTACTTGTATCATCCCTAGGTGACTTGAGCCATCAATTTGTACAGTTTCCATGGCAGATATGAACCTGTCATTTTGTGCAGCAAATAGAAGTTGTAGTCAGAGACAAATATCCATGATGTGAGTAGTATTCCAGAGATTTTGAACTCTCAATTGGTGCTCAAAATCAACCAATTTAATTCAGCAACTGTTTAATTCTGACAAATAGATAAGTATAGATCTAGGAACAAAACCAGGTCAATGTTTTTATGCACAAAATATATCTGGATTTTTTAAAGCGTTCGTTTGGAACCGATCTTTTTCTACCTTTGTGAGAATTTTGAATGCATGGTGGCTGATTTGTGCCATGTCGTATTTATGCCAGTCGAAAACACGGAATTACGAGACAGTGACGACTTTGTCGTACTATGGTGTTTGCGCCCAACGGAGCGGAAGTACGACAATATGTCGCCATTGTCGTGTTTTCGTCCGGTACGACATGACGCAAATCAGTCAATTGAGAAATGCGAAAGTATTAGATAGATAGAGAAGGGTGTTTTCAATATATCGTATTTCATTAGTAATCGATCACTTGCGGGGGTTACCAGTTTATTATCTAGGAAACACGTTTATGAGGACATGACCAAAAATAAAAGTTAATATCAAGACAATCAAAAAATACCACTTGAAAACAGGCACAGAAAGCGAATAAGATTTACATTTCCTTTGTTAACTTTAATAAATATATCATAACCATGTTGATAATACTTGAAATAAATTTCTGGAAAAATGCCGTGTATATACCGTCAAAACGAAATCCGATTTATGAGTAATAATAATACTCATGTACTTGTATGGTGAATATACGAGTATATTTCACTTCAATGAGTAACGCCGAAAAGAAATAAATGAATGGTTGATTTTCATTGCAATTTTGTTGATGCACGGAAGTTAACTACTTCCTTAAATCATTTCTCAATAAATATTTTTTTATTATAATACATATGTGCTCAATTCTTTGTTTTTTACCTCCCCAACTCTTGCACTACTTTTATATTTGACATATTTCATTTTACAAATATCTACATACGCGTTAAAGAAATAAACAAACAAAAAAACAAAACAAACGTTTTTAAATCAAACGCAGTACAATATACCCAATATGATTACTTTTGATAATACATGTATAAAACGAAGATGAAAGCAAATATGTAACTTCTTAAGAGATCTTTTTTAGTATTTTACATACTTAAATCTAAAAAATTTTTTAGATAAGGAAATATTCAAAGCAACTGAAATAATAATTCGCACATCCGAATTCTATAACGTGTAAACAGTGAGACTGATTTGAAGTCACCCACAACGATATATTGCCTGTTAAAAAATTAGTCTTGGCCAATACATGTCGTCTGCTTTATTGAATATTTGTTTATATTCTTTGCCAAATAGCAATACGTTGTATAATTATTTATTCGTTATCTTACCCTATGATCTGTATTAAGATATGATTGTTTTGAACTTATGGAATTAGGCCATATTTAATTAAGTTAAAAAATACAGAGTACTTAACTTAAGCTATCTACTTGTGAAGTATTGTCCACTGAACTCGAACCGGAATTGACACAATAATCGGTTTAAAGAAATGATCAAGTGTTTACAGGATGCGAGTAAAGGAAACATCCCATGTGTATGACGACCTATATCCGATTTAAGCACGTGATCCTGACATTCGTGCAGAAAAAGCGACTGCTTCACCGATTAATGTGTTTATAAATTTACCATTTGCAATGTTTCGGCCACTTCCGTCAGACTTCGGTAAAGTACGAGGGTTTCCGAGTTGTACATTTGTATTTTTACTCAACTTGCGATCCAAGCTTGCGTTACCACTAAAAAGTCGTGTCACAGATTTATCAGAAGCATCAATCAGCTGAAATACGCCACCGGTTTTTACCGGAGTTAGACGGAATAAGCCGAAAGGCTACGGTATTCCGTTGACAGTTTCGGTGTATGTCACTTATTCATCATAATCTTTTTCAATAAATCATTTGGCCTTGCAAACATTGTCATAAGTCCAAAATATAACCTCCTTTTACTCGCGTGCATCTTTTACAAGATTGAATACAGCCGGAAATGTACTGTCCTGTACGTAAACTAATTGACGCTGAACGCAAAATTTGGTCAAAATTCCTTTGCCTAGAACAATATTAAACAAAGCGTTTTTTTTTCTTTCTGCACAGTTTTAATTGTAATTTAAAGTTTTTATTACCTTGACGGGACTGAAAATAATATTTTTTTTTTGGGATTCATATTTAATCATTACTTAATAATTATAGGACTAGACCAGTAACTTGTGTGCAATTTTTTTCATCATTCGCTCAGTCCGTTTTTCCAAAACAATTGCAGTAATTGTGAAAAATGACTCAAAATTGAAAACCGTTACAACGCTTTTCGCTCAAATCTGCTACAAAATGCACAAAAATACGAGTTTTTCAATTTATTTCTGAGTATATTCCTGATTTTTTGCTATATCTTTCCGTTCTTAGTGCCCAAGCTCATTTATGTAAGAAATTCAAATTAAATGTTGTTAGGCTTTTGGACCTCAGTGGAGTTCCTTTAAAACCGTGTTATGTGTTGTTATTTTGTTATGTTTCCCTTTGTATTTCGATGTACATATGTATAAGTCTGTAAATAAAATTCTGTTCTGTTCTGTATTTCATTTGTACTTCCTTTATTATTATAAACGTATAATTATGATATTGATACGCAACTGCGGATACCGGGTGGTTAGGATTGAAATACATTAATTATGCGGTAACGTAGCTTTAATGTTATTATAAAAATGGATGACTGCGTTTAGATTTCAAGATACATGCATTTTTAAGTTTAGATGAAAGAAGGTTTTGTTACATTTGATACCCATTGTTGCTTGTAAACATTTCAAATTGTGATTTTGCCAACTTTTGTTTTCTACATTCGGATGATTGTTTTTCGACAATAGTGAAGTTTCAATGGTTTATCGGTGATGAAATATTTCTACACGTTAATTCTACACGTAATTTATAAGGTAGGTTTTTTTTCTTCCTTGATTATAAATCAGTAGTTATACAATTATTATTTTTGGATACCAAAATGTAGGCTTATTCAAGAATTTTTAAGTAGAGGGTATTGTTGTCACGGAAATTTAAAGATTTCAAAATGGGTATGACGTAAAATTTTTATTTCATTTATGCATTTGGATCGTTACGGATGACCTGCTTGAAGTAAATGGTAAGCTGTTTTCAGGATAACTCTTTCATTACTTTTATAATAAAAACATAAAATTCAAAAGAATGACACGAAAAAAACCCCATAAAAGTTGAAAAGAGTAGCAAATAATTTACGCTTTTTATAAATCGGGTGAAAAATTATAAAGACATAGGACGGGGTTGATTTCTTTTTTAAATATTGTGGTAAGGTAGCTTTAAATTTATAATGTCACTATATAATTTAATATATGAAATGGATGACTGCGTTTTTTTTTTACAAAAAAAAAATGAATGTTCTACTTTCTGAAATAGTACATTTGTAACAGTTAAATAAAATGGATATTTACGCAGTGTATATTAAACATTTTTGAACGTTTGATATTTATATACAAACAAAAGATGTCATTTAGAAATTAAACAAATTCAAAAACCCTTTAATCTGCTAGAACCAAAGGTCATTAGCCTTTGCCACCGTAATAGAGCTAGGTCAGCCTGCACAACCGCCCAGCCTTACAAGGTTTGATACTGTTGGTAGCCCAATTTTTGTATTTTTAAACTTTAAATGAACTGTTTCAAATTAAAACTTTGGTACATCTATTACAAACATTCAGTGGATTAAAAAATAATAATTATTTTTTTCTGTTTCAGATGCTGTAAAGGTTTTAATAATAAAAGAGATAGTGAAAATCGGTACCAATTAAAATGCTCATTACAGTATTGTCGCATATAGCTCTGATTGTTGGATGGAGTATTTGTGTGGAAGGTCATGGACGGTTGGTACAGCCGCCATCACGATCAACCATGTGGCGATTCGGATACAGCACACCACATAACTATAACGATAATCAGCTGTTTTGCGGAGGGTCTTCAGTACGTATTTTTAAGTAGTATGGTATACCATTTTTTAATAGTTTGTAAAGATTCGCCCTTCTTCGTTACATTCAGTATCCAAAACTCAAACAAGCCCAACATTGCATTTACGTCATTCTTTCCTGGCCCCGATCCAAAGGTGGTAGTTTAGGAAAAAGAACGAGATTTTTCCCAGCCGCTGTTTACTGATGAGAAGTAAACGTGAAATTACTAAAATTTTACCACACTCTTCAGAAGAAATCGAAAATAGGGCGATGACTGCAATAAAGGGGTTTATATAAGTTTGTTTCTAACCCAAATAAAAACTACATGGAATTTATTGGATATAACCAATCGAAAAACAATTAAGGGTTATTGAACTGGAATATCATTTACGACGTTTCTTTATCTAAAAAAGTCATAAATTATTTCAGTTTCTAATAATTCATGATTCCCCTTAATTATTTTTTAAAATTTCCTCATCTTCTAAACAAAGAATGCACATTTCCTTACAGATTCAGTGGGGACAGAATGACGGGAAATGTGGCGTCTGCGGGGACCGGTATGATGGAGCGCGCGATAACGAGGCTCCGAACGGCAAATACGCTACTGGTACATTGGTTGCTAAATACGATGCAGGCCAAATGATAGAGATCAAAGTTCATATAACAGCCAATCATAAGGGGTGGTTTGAGTACAGACTGTGTCGCAATGATGACCCGAAAGCGGCTGTGACCCAAACCTGTTTTGACGAAAATCTCTTGGCAGACGAGTCTGGGAAAACAAGATTTACGATCACAACATCCATGTTCCATATTGCACACAAGGTCAAGCTTCCAAACGGTTTGAAATGCAAAGCTTGCGTAATCCAGTGGAAGTACAATACCGGAAACAGTTGGGGAACCGATTTTGAGACAGGAAAAGGATGTATAGGTAACGTGTATTTAAATGGTTTTGTATCAAATTAAAATTAATTGCAATAAGACGAGGACGATTAAATTCTTTATAAGCTCCGTAAATGGTGCGAAATTTTCGGAAAATGGATGGTTGTGTCGTTAATACTTGTATTCGATCTAACCACTATTGCTTTGTTACTATTCCCCTTTCGCAAAGCGGGGAAGGGATTATAGGAATGGCTTCCGTCCGTCCGTCCGTAACACTTTCGGGTCCGCTCCATATAACCGCTGATTTTTTAGCTCACCTGAGCATGCTCAGGGTGAGCTTTTAGGATCGATGATTGTCCTTCGTCCGTCGTCCGTCTACATTTAGTTCGATAACACTCTAGCGGTCGCATTTCTGCCTCAGTCATCATCAAACTTGGTCAGGATGCTTATCTAGTTGATAGCTCGAATGAGTTCGAACATGTGTCATCTCGAATGAAAAACTAGGTCACAAGAGCTAAAAATAGATAAACCATGTTAACATTCTAGAGGTAACATTTTTGCCTCAATCATCATCAAACTTGGTCAGGATGCTTGTCAAGGTGATAGCTTGGATGAGTTCGAACATGAAAATCTAGGTCACCGGAGCTTAAAATAGAAAAAACCTTGTTAACACTCTAGCAGTCACATTTTTGCCTCAATGATCATCAAACTTAGTCAGGATGCTTGTCTAGGTGATAGCTCGGATGAGTTCGAACATGGGTAATCCTGGATGAAAATCTAGGTCACCGGAGCTAAAAATAGAAAAACCTTATTAACACTCTAGCGGTCACATTTTTGCCTCAATTATCATCAAACTTGGTCAGGATGCTTGTCTAGGTGATAGCTTGGATGAGTTCGAACATGGGCCATCTCGGATGAAAAACAAGGTCACCGGAGCTAAAAATAGAAAAATCTTGTTAACACTCTAGCGGTCACATTTTTGACACAAGTGTCATCAAAGTTGATCAGGATGCTTGTCTAGGTACTTGCTCGGATGAGTTCGAACATGGGTCATCGGATGAAAAACAAGGTCACAGGAGCTAAAAATAGAAAAATCATTCTAACACTCTTGTGGCTACTGTTTTGATCCAAATACCCTGTAAATTGGTCTGAAAGTTTGTTTTGATGATTTCTAAGTCAAGTTCGAACATCGGTCATCTCGGATGAAAAACTAGGTCACACCGCCCAAATATGGAAAGACATTGTTAACACTCTAGTGGTCACATTTTTGACTCAATTATCATCAAACTTGGTCAGGATGCTTGTCTTAGTAATTGCTCGGATGAGTTCAAAATGTGAAACTAGGTCACTGGAGCTAAAAACAGAAAAATCTTGTTAACAATCTAGTTGCTACTGTTTTGATCCAATTGGTCTGAAAGTTTGTTTTGATGATTTCCAGGTCAAGTTTGAATATGGGTCACCTTGGTAAAAAAAACTAGGTCACACTGCTCAATTATGGATAATCCTTGTTAACACTGAAGTGGTCACATTTTGACTCACCTGTCATGAAACTTGGTCAGAATGCTTGTCTAGGTAATTGTTCGGATGAGTTTGATGGGTCAGGTGAGCGATCTAGGGCCATCATGGCTCTCTTGTTTAATAACTTGGCACAAGTGATCACCATTATGAGAAAATGTGCAGAGCACAATAATTTGGTCACTACCTCAAGGCCTATGTCACACTTAAAGGTCAAGTGTTAAAAAGTCTAATTTCGTATCCGCTCCGCTGCAATGTTTTTAAACTTTGGAGAAATGATTACCATTATGAGACGATGTGCAGAGCACAACAGTCATGTCACTATCCTTAAGGTCAAGGTCTAACTCAAAGGTCCAGTGTTTAAACATCTATTTTTCATGTCCGCTCTATAACTTGTTGACAATCTAAAGGTTTTAAAATTATTTGGCACAAATGATCCCCACCATGACACAATCTGCAGGGCGCAACATCTAGTTTGCTACATCGAAGGTAAATCCAGGTTGCTATATTCAAGGTCAAGGTCACACTTAAAGGTCAAATGATAAAGTCCATATTCTCCTGTCCGCTCCTCAACTTTTAAACTACTGAAAAAATGAAAATGACTGCACAATTGTCACCATATTGGCATGATGTGTGAAGCGCAATATTCAGGTCGCTTCCCCAAGGTCTAGGTCATCCATAGAGGTCAAATTTTAAAAGTCAACAATTTTGTGTCCTCGTCATAACTTTTTAACTACTGAATTTTTTTAATTATATTGCCACACTTGATCACCATCATCCCCTACAGAGGATAACAAGCAGGTGTCCCCGAAGGTCAAGGTTATAACATAACCAGCAGTCTTGTAATTCTGACCTGAATGATTTGTAAAACATGAAAACTATATAACAAATAAAACATAGGAGTCTCAATCAAAGTAAAATAAGTGAAAACAGGACATATACAATGTATCACTAAAGCCCACGGAACAGCAATTTTGCCTAAACTATGATACTGCCAAATATGTAAGAAACTTGTCAATATACGAAGTGTAAAATTACTCATGGTTACCAAGACCATGGCCTAAAAAATTGAAAAGAAATAAGAGGATATACATAGATATCCACCTTCTAAATATGGATGATAAATGGTCATTTAACTACATGTACAATAGACTTTTGTGATGAGCAAATGTGCTTATGATATGCATGGCACAACATCAAGGTCATAGTTGATTAGAGGCCAAGAAAAACACATTCATGTACGCTCCGGAAGGAGATTTAGCTGTCCTTCAGACTGCCTTGTTGAACTTATGGCATAATTGTTTTGTTACCTTTACCTTTAGGCTGTGGACCACAAGAACAGTTTTACGGCTGCGCAGACGTCGCCATAGGAGCAGACGATATTGTTATGCCAACGCCAGACAAAGACGTAACGGTACCAGACGGTGACGTCGACGAAAGAGAAGAGATTGACAAAACAGACGAATACGATTCTAACGGTGGCTGTAAGTGTAACTGTGCTCTGACGTCATCAGCTTCGAGGAACATGAAGACTTCTACAATTGTTATAGCTTCCCTGTGTTCACTTTTAGCGCAAATTATAGCCTGTTTCAAATAAGTTCATTGCTAATTGACAATGATATGTAAATCTAATACGAGTAGTTTTAGAACATTTTCTCAATGCATTCTTAAATTTCTCATCATGACATGTCAAAGTTAATATTAGTAACGTATATATACGCTGTCTATGACTTCTTTCCAATATTTCTGGAAACCGGACACAGTAACATAAGAAAGGGAATGAAGATTTCGTTGCAATTTTTCCTGAATCTTTACAGGGTCTTATTTGAAAGACCCTGATCTGTACCATCGTTTTAAAATGTTTCTCATGTATCTAAATACTACGGTATTCCGTTAGGACCATCGCCAATGAAAGAAGTTATTTGAAACTCGAAAAGTCGTAAACACGAATTTACATAGACGAAAACGCGAAATCACGAAAACACGAACACGCGAAGGAACGACGACGAAAATGCGAGGACACCATGACGAAAACTCGACAAATTCAAGTCGAGAATCATCACGTTTTCGTCATCGTAATATTGAGCTTCCGTCTTTGTTACTTTGAGTTTTTACCATCGTGTTTTCGACTTTTCGCGTTTGTAATTTCTTTATTCATTGCCGATGTCCCTAACGGAGCACCGTAAAATATTGTTCATATTACCTGTAAGAATAGAATATCAATTTATCATGATCTCTCTGAAATCTGGTAACACGAGTACATTAAAAAAAGCACTTCAGTATACCATCATATTTGGCCGATGTTTTCAACTAACAGGTTATAAAATTGAAATTATATTTTCAAAGACCCCGCACCCGGATTAAATGGAACGCTATTCAACCCCTTTCACTCTGAATATCTTAAATGGACTCGTCCGTCTTTTGTTCTTGAAAAGACCATTCATCATTTTAGGAAAATTTTCACAATGGGTTCAGCGAACAGTGCAGACCATGATAAGACCCGCAAATCTTGGTCTTCAATGGTCGCATGATTTTTGTGTGCTTTTTTTCTGTTGCCGCAAGCAAACAATATAATTATATTAGCCTACATGTACAATAAAATACAAGGCGCAATCTACGGCCATGTTCATATGAAATATGGAAAAGGCATTTGGTGCCGGCTGAATGTTCGTGAAGTAAAACAATTTTGTTCTAGATACACATTTTGTATGCATTTAAAATTATATTTTGTCACCGAGTAATTAATACCTTATCTGTAACCAGTCCTCGATTTCTATGTTTTAGTTGTATTCAACGCTTAAGTCATAAAAAAGTCAATTTCAAGCAGCTTAGGGTTACAGACTGCAGTGACATGCAGGCTGATCTAGTTCTTAATTGATGACCTGAGCATGTTATTGCCTGCCAGGTAGAGTACGGGTAAGAAATGTTGAACTATACAAGTTTGTTAAACTATACAAGTTTGTTGAACTATAAAAGTTTGTTAAACTATACAAGTTTGTTAAACTATACAAGTTTACTCGTACTTTTTGTATGCTATTGGGTTTCCGATATCAGTTACTCGATATTCGAGGCCTTTTTAAGATATAACGTAATTACTAAAAAATCCATTTGTTCTCGTATATTTTGATAAATTAAGGGCTGGTTCCCATCTGTTTTCACGTTTGTCTGCTAAAATGTAATGTCTTTTTTATGATAAGAAAGATTAAATTATATTCATATACTCATTTCAGGTTTTTATAACACCCAATTTCAACCAAACACCGTATATGTCAGTATATATCATGCCTTGACGGACTTTGGAAAACATGGCACATATGTGTGCAATGGTGAAATATATTGGGTACAATGACTACTCAAAGGTCATGGTTATAATAAAAGGCCAAATGATAAAATGTAGATCCTACCTAAAGCTTTGTCATTCCTTGTTTATTTAATGTGAAAAAGCAACAAAATTGAAAATCAAAAACAAAACAACACACATTTCTGCGCACGATACAGATCCATTATCAGAGGTCAAGGTCACGCCAATAGGTCAACGTTTAAATGTAAATACTTTAGTTTAGTTTAGTTTAAATATTTGGCCTATAGCTTCGTCATTACTAGATTGATTTTTGAAATTACTTAACCAGGGTACAATTCTACTACAGCAAGTTTAATATCACACTTATAAATACTCAAGGTTAAAAATTGGTTTTAAATACGAGAAACGTAGAAACGTCTTTAAACATAAATGATTCTCTTTAAATTACTTAGTTTAGTGAACGCTTACCACACTTCAATATTTGAAAAATATTACATTTAATCTTTCTAAAGGCATCTTCCTGAAGTAAAATCCATTTGAGCCGCGTCACGACAAAACCAACATAATGCGTTTGCGACCAGCATGAACCCAGACCAGCCTGCGCATCCGCGCAGTCTGATCAGGATCAATGCTGTTCGCTTACAAACCCTATAGCAAGTTGAGAAACAACTGATAGCGAACAGCATAAATCCTGATCAGACTGTGTGGATGCGCAAGCTGGTCTGGAGCCATGCTGGTCGCAAACGCACTATGTTGGTTTTGTCGTGACGCGGCTCATTTTATATCCCATTGCCGCATAAGCTGGAATTATTTTCAGCTATTTTGATATCAAAACAGATCAACGTCGCGACAGTGAAAAGCGTAAAGATGTAAATTAAATATTGATTGATTTTAGCATTCTAAGCACCTTAATGAGGTTACGTGGCACGTGAAAAAAAAGATAAAGACAATATCTTTGCGAAACTAAAGGCACTAGTAATAGTAAACTGCTTGACGACTTGCCCAGGAGGGACGTGATGGCTGAACTGTGCTATCGTGAACTCAAAGTGGCTTACTGCCGTATCAAACACCACTAGAGTCTGAATGTTACAACCATGTACGGACTTAATGTTACAACCATGTACGGACTTCTAAGCGGTTTTGCCTTATATTACTTATGATAAGTACATGTACATGTATTTTAGTTTGTATTCTGAATGGCACTGCTGATACCGGTATCTCTCATTGACTCGGCAAGTGCGCGTCGTGGAGAGGCAATAAACATCGGAAGATCGGAAGAACTTTGGATGGCGAAAATAAAGACCAGAACTTGCACATGGCTGAAGCCGTACAAAGTAGGCAGGGGGAAGGCTACTAGAGTGCGTGAGACCCTAGAACGCCGTAGGCTGCCCTTTGCTTGACACCAAAAAACGAGAGGGCGTCTAAGGATAACGACTGACATACCGTAAGCTAGCTGAATAAAAGAGCTGGGTATGATGCGAACCGGAAGTGGTTAAGAGCAGGTGGTAAGTCCGGAATATGTTACCAATTACTCACGGTGGTGCCGCTCATACCCTAAGAGGCCTTTGCCTTTGATTTAATGTCATAAAATACGTACATGAATATTCCATCTTTGTACTTTAACTAAAGCATCCCACAAAAACAATCCAGGTCATAAAATATTCAACACCTACTCTCCACCTACACTTTTTTAATGACTTGCAACTTCATTTAGTGAAAGTATAAAATTTCACAAGAAAATAAATGCGAGTCTCTTATTTAACACAATGGATGCTTTCATTGTAAACCTATGCCCAATATTGTTCACTAAATTGCGTGACCGGAGGGTGTTTCGCTAAATTTTCGACCATGAATTTTTTTAATAAAACCCCGTTTTGTTCGTATTTAAAATATAACTACAAATATACCGAGGTATCATGTAAATGGTGTAAATTGAGAAGGTCAATTATGAGAGATAATTGTATCCCTTATGAATAAATTTAGGCACCCGGATCTACAAGTTGATATCCCATCAAGATCATTTTGGAGTTTGATTCGAAACAGGTAAGTTCTTTTTTTCTAACTTTTTTCTTATTATATTTCTGTGTTTTTTTATTTATTTGTTATTTTTGTTCATTTTTGTTTTATCTCTGGCTTGGTGGCCATCTCGCTGATTTACTTAAAAAGTAAATAAATAGTAAATTTAAAAAAAAAGAACAACAACAAACAAGCAAACAAAAACACACAAACACAATTGTTGAGTAATAACAAGATATTGTTTAAGTAAAACATGATAATATTTTCTATGAATTTGCAGGTCTTATGCTTGAATTTTTTGCATTTAAATTAGATGCTTTTATTCTCACTAAAGAAGCAAATCTCTGTGTGCAGCTGCAAACGTTAATATTTTACTTTTCATGACATTGCGTTCAAATAATAACAGATGACTAAATTGTTTTACAAAACCAAAACAAATATCTCCACATTCAGTTATTTAACAAGAAAGTTAGTATTGTTTCAGATTTAACTGACACATCACGGAACCCCCGTATAAATTGTGTTGCAAATGAATAATATAAATAGTTTCCAAATTCAAGAAATAATGATTTTCATTGCTTTGTTTGCAGCTGCAGAAATGAATTTGCTTTTGTTGTCCGCGCATTTTATTGCCCTCTTCGTGGCAGTAGAGGGGCACGGCCGATTGATAGACCCGCCTTCCAGGGTTACTCTGGGAAGGTATTTTCCTGGACACGCCTTCGATACAACTGACATGGGATATAACTGCGGCGGCGTACGGGTAAGGGAATATTTTCATTCACATCTTTGCTTGGCATCAACAGCCCTTTTTAAGGGCTATCCCTTTTCATTATAGTCACATGTTACTGTACATTTAGGGTCGTATTGACCGCCTTACAGTGACTTACTTTTAGCTCAAAAATCATATCTTTGGTTAATACTCACCAAATTAATTAGGAAAATTACCACCGCTTTGTGCTTTAAGGGCATGACTGGTGACATATCCGGGTTCCGTACTCGACAGCGAAAGCTGCTTTTTGTGCCTTAACGGGCGGATGGACTACATACATACTACTCAAGGGAAATATATTTCATTATACTGGGAAATCAATTCGATGCGGTTTAGTTTGAATTAGTTGGAAGTCATTTTCAAGATAGGCATAATAACAAAGATGTTATGGTGCAACGTGATTCAAATGAGCCCAAAAAAAAAAAATCAAGAAAATCAACCTTGCGAAAAATGAGGTTAGATTTTAAGAAAAGTAAAAATACAATTCACGACTTACATGCTAGGATGGTCCCCTATGGTACCACTGTTCTTATTATTTCCAGAAAATTGTACAAATAAAAAGAACTTATATTAACTATTTTATTGAATTGTGTTTAGCTGTCGCATCTTGACTTTAAAATAAACATGTTATTCATGGAATAACTAAATGATTTTAATTAGAAACATCTATACACGATCAGCCATGTTTAAAATGGGAGCTTATAGGGAAAGCACTATGGTACCGTGGTATGTAAATTAATGGCACTTTTTGGCTTCTGTATAATTTTTTGTAACAGAATATGCTGTCACTACAGTTTCAGCAGACGACGTTCACATGTCGGAATATGAAATTATAAGTTTAACCGTTAAATATGGGTTAATTAAAGAAGTTTTTTTTCAGCACACACAGGCAGCTTTGAATTTTCCTATCAATGACAGAATTTATTTGAAATGAAAAAAAAATCTAACAATTTCTATCCAAATTCACAAAAAGCAGCACTTCCACTTTCACTATAATGGTGGAAACAGTATTTGGTAGCATTCAATGTGTAAAGAAACAAATTTCCTATTACATCGGAATAGGCAAGGACGCGGTACCTGCGGGGAGTATCGTATATGCAATGAATGAGTTTGCAGTATCTATCACCATATTTCAACTGCGTAGTTAGGGCCAATTTTGCATACATGTATTTTGATCATGTTTTGGTAATCTACTTGGATAGACGTGCCGCGTGCAATGTGTAAATTACATTCTTTGTTTTGAAAATTTAAAAATGAAATGAAAATAAGCATGAATCTGAAGGTGTGCTGCTTTAACTGATAATTAGCCGCTCCATTTCAATTTAGTTTTGTTAGTGCCCGGGACCCAACTTCCAGCGATATTGCCCTCTACTCTACGAAATTAAAAGTAACAAATGCAACAAAATGTCAATTACAAGAAAGAGGACATTTTAAATGCAAAAGCCCAGGCAAATGTTGATTGGAATTCAATATACTCGCAGTTATAATTCTTTGTAAGGTTCAACTATGGTGGCTGATTTGTGCCATTTGTGTTTTCGCCCCGCGACCCCGCCAAGCGAAAGTCGCTTATTTATTTAAACTTCGCCCCGCGCCCTCGCTAATCAGCGTGTGTTCGCTCCATGTCCCCGCTCCATGTCCCCGCCGTTTTATTTCTTAAATTTCGCTCTGCACTCCCGCGGGGCGAAGTTTTATCTATTAAATTTCGAACCGCGCGCCCGCTAATTAGCGTGTTTTCGCTCCGTGCCCCGCCATTTTAATTTATTAATTCTCGACTTTTCGCTTGGCGGGTCGCAGGACGAAAACATGAATGGCACAAATCAGCCACCATATACCACAGGCACGAGTATCGAACCTGGGAAGAAAATATGACCGACCAAATTGATGAAAAACCACTGTGTTCATCTTAAATGTGTAAAAAACAAAAAAATTTGCCCCCCTCCCTTAAAAATATAAAATATAGATTATTTAATTATTTCGTTATTTGGAATCTCAATACAAACGTGAAATAGTGATAAAAGTTTTGTTTAATTATCTGGACAATTGTTTTCACAACGTTCCGGGAAATGAATCCCTTGCTCGTAGACTCGAATCTGGAGTTCTCTTAACTTATAGTATATTTTTAAGAGGCATTTTTTTTTTTTTTGGTTTTTGACACATTTGATATGAACATAGAGGTTTTTATTTGTTTGGGTCGTCAGACCAAACAAATAATGGTAGCGAAATTTCAGACCCTGATGTTCTTATTTGCAAATGCCGAAAGTAGTCCAAACTCCTCGAAGCGGTTACTTCCCTTCATATGTATATTAACGCCGAAAAAATTAAGGGGAGATCACTGCGTAAAGATTGTCAAATGACAGGCACATTAATTTTCGTAACGAAAAAATAGTTCCCGATTGGTCGAAGATTTCTAATATTGTGTTATTCTTATAGATATACATGCTTATATTCAGCTCCATGATTATTCACTTCAGTGTTAAACAACAGGTTTACCGTGAACAAAATATATCGAAACTAATAACGGTTACGAACTTTAATTTAGAATGATACGGAATTCTTCAGGCTGTTATCTTACAACTACTTGTGGTCGAGGGGTTTACTTTCTCGCTTTGGAAGCGAGAGGTCTGGAGTTCAAATCCCAGTTCAGGCAACTTTTTTTTAAAGCCAATTAAACATTGAATTGAATATCAGTGCAGTGTTGCAATTAGTCTTATAGCCAATTTACTATAGTTACAACACTGGAAACTGCATTGGTGACACTATACAAAGAAATTGGTTAATAATCTCACAACTTTCACCCTTCTGACTTTCTGATACCCAAACAAATTCAGCGCCTTCTGTGCTTTGATTTATCAATGTGGTCTTATTTTCTTCCCAGGTCCGGTACTCGTGCCTGTGCCATATTCCACAATATACAGTAGTACATGTTTTTAAACGTCGACTTGATATATAGAGTTAAAGTATGAGTGATTGTAAATTATCTAATGCCCAATATTTTGAAAAAAAAATATATCGTTCCGGAAATGACTTTTCTTTTTGTGTGTCTTTTTTTCTATGCAGACCGAGGCCGGTGAGGAGTCCCCTAAATGTCCTGTATGTGGAGCTAGGCCCAGTGATAACCCACCAAATGAACCTCCAAATGGAAAATATGCAAACGATTTTATTGTGAAGACGTACATGCAAGGGGAGGTAATTGAGATCAAATCACAGCTGACTGCGAATCATAAAGGTGAAATGGAATATAGGATCTGTGAAAACGATGAAAAACAAGCCGTTGTAGGTTATGATTGTTTCAACAAGAATTTGCTGGTTGGTGAAGATGGTGTCACGACAGCCTTTAAGATCATTACCCAGTCCTACAGTGCAGATATCGCCCACAGAGTAAAACTCCCGCCAAATTTGACCTGTACACGATGTATTCTTCAGTGGAGATACAGGGCCGGAAACAGCTGGGCTAAGGGCTGCTTGGGTACTATTTTTTAAAATCAAATTCTCCACTTTTTAAATAAAATTCTATATTTAGAAAACATTTATGAATGAGCAAATATATTAATTATGTATACCCATGAATTTTATCCCTAAAATTCACACCAGTAGAAAATCTCGTATTATGTTAATGACAAATTCGGTGCCATGTTAGATTTAAGTGCGGACTATTTTCACGTTCATCACAACAACAACATCAGCAACATTTTCTGCCTCTAGCCCAAAATACACAGTATAATGAATAATCAAAGCAGTAGTGCATATTTAAGTTGTGTCTGTATCAATTCATTAACAAAAAAAGAAGAACTTTTTTTCCCCTACACATTTAGAGTTTTCATCCAGTTGCAAAATTTTGGAATTATGGAATATATTTTCATGATTGTATCACATAGATGTAACGTTTTCTTTGTTGGGAAAATCTGTAACAAAATAACAAAAATAGATGAAACTCGTCTTCAATAAAATAATTATCATTTTGCAAACAGTTTTTGCAAATTCGTTCATGTCTTGGTTTTCCTAAATGTGGTCCAGTTTCATTATTGTGACTCGTTCATCTAAATCTGGATACTGTCTTTTTTACATAAAATGGGATATCAATTAATAAATATTATATTTCTTTGCATTAACATGGATTGGAAATATATTACACCGGGTACTGTATTGCGTCGCTGTGAATTTTTACGAACAATTTTTAATTTCTTCTATCCAATTCTGTGTTTAACAATCAACTATTCTTTGTTTAAATTGATGAATAAATGGTTGATATCCCCATTTTCTTTACTAAGCCAAACAATACCAAATCCGTAAGTATAGAATTCATTTTTAGCTCACCTGTCACAAAGTGACAGGGTGAGCTTTTGTGATCGCTTTTCGTCCGGCGTCCGTCCGGCCGTCGTCCGTCCGTCCGTAAACTTTTGCTTTAAACGACATCTCCTCATAAACCACTAAGCCAATTTCATCCAAACTTCACAGAAATGTTCCTTTGGTGGTCACCTTTAAAAATTGTTCAAAGAATTTAATTCCATGCAGAACTCTGGTTGCCATGGCAACCGAAAGAAAAATCTTTAAATATCTTCTTTTAAACAACCCTAAGAGCTAGAGCTTAGATATTTGGCATGAAACATCTTCTAATGAGTGTCTACCAAGTTTGTTCAAATAAAAGCCCTGGGGTCAAAATTGGCCCCGCCCCAGGGGGTCATTGATTTTCCCTATATGCATATAGTAAAAACTTAAAAAATCTTCTTTTAAAGAACCGAAAGAGCTAGAGCTAAGATATTTGGCATGAAACATCTTCTAGTGAGTGTCTACCAAGTTTGTTCAAATAAAAGCCCTGGGGTCAAAATTGGCCCTGCCCCAGGGGTCATAGATTTTCCCTATATGCATATAGTAAAAACTTAAAAAATCTTCTTTTAAATAATCCAAAGAGCAAGAGCTAAGATATTTGGCATGAAACATCTTCTAGTGAGTGTCTACCAAGTTTGTTCAAATAAAAGCCCTGGGGTCAAAATTGGCCCGGCCCAGGGGGGTCATTGATTTTCTTATATGCATATAGTAAAAACTTAAAAAATCTTCCTTTAAAGAACTGTAAGAGCTAGAGCTTAGATATTTGGCATGAAACATCTTCTAGTGAGTGTCTACCAAGTTTGTTCAAATAAAAGCCCTGGAGTCAAAATTGGCCCCGCCCCAGGGGGTCATTGATTTTCCCTATATGCATATAGTAAAAACTTAAAATCTTCTTTTAAAGAACCCAAAGAGCTAGAGCTAAGATATTTGGCATGAAACATCTTCTAGTAAGTGTCTACCAAGTTTGTTCAAATAAAAGCCCTGGGGTCAAAATTGGCCCCGCCCCGGGGGGTCATTGATTTTCCTATATGCATATAGTAAAAACTTAAAAAAAACTTCTTTTAAAGAACTGTAATGAGCTAGAGCTTAGATATTTGGCATGAAACATCTTCTAGTGAGTGTCTACCAAGTTTGTTCAAATAAAAGCCCTGGGGTCAAAATTGGCCCCGCCCCAGGGGGTCATTGATTTTCCCTATATGCATATAGTAAAAACTTAAAAAATCTTCTTTTAAAGAACCCAAAGAGCTAGAGCTAAGATATTTAGCATGAAACATCTTCTAATGAGTGTCTACCAAGTTTGTTCAAATAAAAGCCCTGAGGTCAGAATTGGCCCTGCCCCAGGGGGTCATAGATTTTCCCAATATGCATATAGTAAAAACTTAAAAAAATCCTCTTTTAAAGAACCCAAAGAGCTAGAGCTAAGATTTTTGGCATGAAACATCTTCTAGTGAGTGTCTACCAAGTTTGTTCAAATAAAAGCCCTGGGGTCAAAACTGGCCCCCCCCTGGGGGTCATTGATTTTCCTTATATGTGTATAGCAAAACTTAAAAATCTTCTTTGAAAAAACCCAAATAGCTAGAGTTTAGATATTTAGCATGAAACATCTTTAAGTAAATATCTACAAAGTTTGTTCAAATAAAAGCCGGGGGGTCAAAACTGGCCCTGCCCCAGGGGTGTCATTGTTTTTAACTATATGTGTATAGTAAAAACTTAAAAAATAATCTTTTAAAAACCCAATGAGCTAGAACTTAGATGTTTAGCATGAAACATCTTCTTATGGGTGTCTACCAAGTCTGTTCAAATAAACAAATAAAAGCCCTTGGGTAAAAATTGGCCCGGGGTTAGGGGGGCTATATACAGGTGAGCGACCTCAGGGCCATCATGGCCCTCTTGTTTACTGAGGTAGCCCAATTTTTCCTTTCAATATCATCTTGCCTAGTTAACATAAATATCAATTTCTAGGATATCTATGGAAAGCCTTGACTGTCTTATGATTATAAAAGTGAACGTTGTTGTGTCACTTTTTCTTAATACGATGTGCATTCATTAATATATTATGTAGATGCATCCTTATATGAAGTCAACTGAACAATATATGATGTCAATGTGTCTTTATATGATGTCGACCAATCATTATACGATGTGCATTTATGAATATAATTATGATGTGGTAGAATCATTATATACAGTCAGCTTATCAATATATTATGTCAATCTTTCATTATACGATGTGCATCTATTATTATACGATGTGCATTTATGAATATATCATGTGGTTGCATCATTATATACAGTCAACTTATCAATATATTATGTCAATCTTTCATTATACGATGTGCATCTATTGTTATACGACCGCTGCTTTATATGCAGTGCAAGCCTCCATGGTCGAGGGGTTAGAGTCGATGACTTCTAATCCATAAACCTCTCTGGCGTGGGTTCGATCCCCGGGAGATGCTTTGGTAGTTTAGCGCGGAGGAAGGTAGTCTAGTACTGGTGTAACTCTCCAGGAACGATGGTTAGGAAACTACCCGTCTATATGACTGAAATACTGTTGGGAAAAGGCGTAAAATGAAACAAACAAACAAATTATATGCAGTGCAAACATCATTATGTCGTGTGCTTCTATCATTATACTGATGGGGTTAAATTTACTGGGTTATATCTCACTATGCACCGTTCGGGAAAACTCAAAGTAAATTGTATCATATATTGTTAAGCTGACTCTATATAAAGACAATTTCACACAATAAAGTGTTGTTTTGACTTTATATAAGAATGGTTCCACATAATATATTCGTAATTGCACATCATATAATGAAAGATTGACATCATATAAGGACACATACTCATCATATATAATGTTAATTTGACTGTATATAAAGATGGTTTCACATAATATATTCATTAATGCACATCGTATAATGAGAGATTGACATCATATAAGGACGTGTTGACATCATATAATGTTAATTTGACTGTATATAAAGATGGTTTCACATAGTATATTCATTAATGCACATCGTATAATGAAAGATTGACATCATATAAGGACGTGTTGACATATAATGTTAATTTGACTGTATATAAAGATGGTTTCACATAATATATTCATTAATGCACATCGTATAATGGAATATTGACATCATATAAGGACGTGTTGACATCATATAATGTTAATTTGACTGTATATAAAGATGGTTTCACATAATATATTCATTAATGCACATCGTATAATGAAAGATTGACATCATATAAGGACGTGTTGACATCATATAATGTTAATTTGACTGTATATAAAGATGGTTTCACATAATATATTCATTAATGCACATCGTACAATGAAAGATTGGCATCATATAAGGACGTGTTGACATCATATATTGTTAAGTTGACTCTATATAAATACGGTTCTACATAATATTATGTTATTTTGACTCTATATAAAGATGGTTCCACACAATATATTCATTAATGCACATCGTATAATGAAAGATTTACATCATAGAAGGACACATTTACATCATATTGTTAGGTTATAATATACTGAAAAATGCACAGCGTATATTAATAGATTGACATAATATAAGGAGACATTGACATCATATAATGTTATATTCAGAAATGCACATCGTATAATGATATATTGACATCTTATATAGACACATTGACATCATACCATTGTTCAGTTGACTACATATAAAGATGGATCCACATAATATATTTGTGAGTGCATCTTGTATAAGGAAAGGTTGGCTCAATATATTGCTATTTGGACATAACAATGTTCAGGTTTATAATTATAAGACACTCAAGGCTTTCCATAGTAATCTATGTGTTCTGGCATATACAAAGTAGTTTACACAAATATTTAATCACTTTAATCTTTCAAACAAATAAAAGCAAAGAATATTTCATCTATATGGCCAATGATTCACTTTTAAGGGAACTAAAACAAGATACAAAAGATAACATTTTTGGATTAATAACCTTTAAATTGAGATTTTACTTGTCTGTATTTACCCCAAAGTCCAAATTACATATAAACGCTAGATTTGTTGCTTTTAAAATTAACTTGATCGTTAAGTAACCCGTCGTTCGTCTTTAGACTTTTGTTAAGATACGTTTTAATATAGCAATGTTCTTCGTTTTACTTAATAATTTAATTTCTATTCTGGGTTTTAAAGAGGTAATTTCATTTGTGTAATACTCACTGTTATTGCAGACTTACCGACATTGCTACAAAATTTACTCTGAATCTTCACCAAGCTTTGAATATGTAAAAAAATGTTACGTTGAAAGATTTTAGATTGTCACGATTACTCCACATCGATAATCTTTTTATTTAGGTTGCGGACCACAAGAAACATTTCAAGCATGCGCAGACATTGAAATCAAGCCAAACGGGAATGCAATTGAGCCAGAAAATGAACCGGAAACTCCTGGAAATACGCCGGAAGTAGATGACAGCGTTCCTGTTGATAACGGCAGCTGCGACTGTTCGAAAGCACTTTCTCCTGCAATGTGTCATAGTGTTTCTACAGGACGCCGTTGGTCTAACCGTCATTAAAAACCGCTTGTATTCAATCAGCAGCTCAAATTTAATTCGGAAAACTCCATATGCATGAACAGATATGTCAGCCATTTTAAAATTACGTCATTCGAATAATCTGTTTCCCAGAAACACTGACCTAGAATGCTGTTATCAAAGTTTACCGAATTGATGAATTGAAATTTAAACGAAATCAGGGTTTCCTGAAGTTATTATCGTTTTAATTTACTGACGTGAAAAAAAATAATAGTATGTAAAATACTTAAAAACTTCTTTAATAAAAATATAACTTACATAAAAGCATTCAATTTTCTTCTTTTTGAACTACATGCACATGTACCATTAATATGTTGCTGTCTATAGAAGTAAAAAAATCTTTGTATTTTGAGCTGGATTGTTAAGTAGGTTTGTTGAGATGAATAATGAAACCGACGATCCGCGTTCCTGAATATGAAACCGATGATCCGCGTTCCTGAATAATTTAAAACCGATGAACCAACGGTTATCATATTATCCTGAAATATGCTTTTAAACATTAATGGGTAATCCGTGAAAAAAATTGTGTTCTTTTTTTCCCGCAGTTGTTTCTTTAGTGAATTGACTTTGTATGTTACCGATCTAAATGTATATAGCGAGCATACCTTTAATGATTAAACATGTAATTTCTTTTAAAAATTCATCTTGAATCTTTCATGTTAGGAACCTGAAAGCAAGTTGTTCTACCCAGGCTGACGCTGGTGCACTGAGAGCCAATCCCTACTCCCTGCGAACACGCTCGCGCGCGGGCGCAAAAGCAAACAAATAATAAAAGAAAACAACAACAATAAAATAAATAATCAACGAACAAAAATTATAACAAAATTGTCTTCAGCAATAAAAATACTTCGTTCATGAACTTGAAAAATGTATACATAGTAAAATAAGAAATACGCCTGTTAAAATTTCGTAAAGCTACAGCCTCGCTGACATCCCGCAGAGCCCCGTTAGACGTCCGGGGTGATCCGGGAACGACCGGGGTACGACTGGGAACAACCGGGTACATCCGTAACTTTACCGGCAACGTCCGGAATGATCCGGGAACATCCGGCATTCGACCCGGGGATGGAATAAAATATTTAATATCACCGGGGTAGTCCGGGATGATCCGGGAAGTATAGCTTTGCCGGGGAAGCACCGTAGCTCTGCCGGCATAAACCGGGAATGATTCGGGGTATAATTTAGCCGGTAGAGCTACGGTAGAGCCCCGGTTAATGCTGGCAGAGCCCCGGTGAATGCCGGCAGAGCCCTGGAGGATGCCGGCAGAGCCCCGGAGGATGACGATGGAGCTACGATTGATCCCGGTAGAGCCACAGCAAAGCCCGGTTCATTTCAATAGAATCACGACAATTTGTAATGATTGCACTTGCTTGTATTAAATCCTTCCTATTTCCCTTCTATCCAAGTCTTGCATAAGAATTTTTCAGAAAATCATCATGAATTATTATTCTGGAACAATAGATATATATATAAAATAAAAATTATGTATCAATGTAATCATTTTCGCGCGTTTTCAATCCACCGGGCTTCTACCGGGGCTCTGCTTGAATCGTCCTGGGCTCTGCCGGGGCTCTGCCTGGATCGACCTGGGCTCTGCCTGGGCTAAACGGGGCTCTTCCGGCGTCATCCGGGAACGACCGGGGAGGCACGGGCATGAACCGTAGCTTCACCTGGGCTCTGCCTTGATGATCCGGAGCGCATCCTGGGTGGTTAGTTGGAAATTACCGTAGTACTGCCGGGGCTAGTGTAACCGCAACAATAATTTCACCACGGATCGTCCCGGAACATCCCGGTAGGTGAGACCGCAGCTTTACACAGATCTCTTATCTACATAAATTTTGTATAACTTCCAATATTTCCTTAATAAAAACTATTATAGCTGTTAAATCATAAGAAACCAAAGCAGAAACAACACATATATTGAATGGACATGAGTCATCCTTGAATAACACCCAGGAATAACAAGATGGAACAAGAAGTTTCTAGACTGTTTATGCCCATCCCTTCTTGGTGCCATTTGGCGGGCGTTTTTTCCCGCCTGGTGGTTTCTTGCCAGGACCGCCTTTCTTCTTGCGCGAGGAGCCGTGACCTCCACTGACTTGTCGTTTGGTGTGGATAACCAGGATCAGCACAATAATAGCAAGGATAAACGCCCAGGCGCATACCCCGTACATTGCAAGTTCAAAGTATGTAATACAGGCATTCATCAGTATCATTCCTGTAAACAAAAAAAACATTCATGTCATAAGACAGACCAATCCTTCATGATACAGACCAAATTTGCATGCCTCCATAATTACTAAAAGCATTTAGTTTAAACGAATTTGTTTAGGTCGATTGTGTTGAAAGCTATAAGCTAATTGAAGCACTCTCGAATCCGTTCCAGGAACCAACCAGTACTAAGCAATGAGTGTCAAGTTTCTTGCTCATGGAAAATACGGCTAAGGGGGTTTGCATCCACGTGGCAAGCAGTCCGCTCATTAATAATTATCAAGCCCAAACGACACGCAAGTAGCTACTAGTATTTGAAAGGACACGGAAATACCAAGTCCTCGAGAAATCATATACTTAATAAGACTATACATGTACAATGTGCATTGTACACAATAAAGATTTGAGCCATGTCATGAAAAAACCAACATGATGGGTTTGCGACCAGCATGATCCAGACCAGCCTGCGCATCCGCTCAGTCTGATCAGGATCCATGCTGTTCGCTTACAAACCCTATAACAAGTAGAGAAACTGATAGCGAACAGCATAGATCCTGATCAGACTGTGCGGATGCGCAGGCTGGTCTGGATCCTTGCTGGTCGCAAACCCATTATGCTGGTTTTGTCATGGCGTGGCTCAAAATTTTATTTTACCGATTTATGTACATGATTAAACTGATTTAAGAGTTAAGCTATCAATTTTACATCCGATGTTTGACGGAAAGGGACGAGAACGTCCGATTGAAACTGTCATAGTACATATTATACATTACCGCTGCCGCAAGCTGCCTCCACCGTGACACAGTTTGCCTGGTAATACGACGCTGCTCTGTAGTCTGTAAAAAAGATTATGTCATTTTTTCTTCTTCTTTTTTTTAAATTTTCAAAGATAACATCAATAGATAATGCCTTTTTGGTAGATATGCCAGTTCATCAATTTTATACATATAAATTTAAGAATGATCAAATACATAAAATGCATAGTTTATTGTTTTAATCACGCTCATAAAGAGCATAAGGAAGGACATTGAAATGAAGGGCGCACAGCAGATAAAATATTCATTGAACATTACACCAAACAAGTCCAGTAAAGTAATCATCATAATAGATAGGTCCAGTAAAAGGCTATTATTTTAATAAGTAAAATAAAGGAATAGTATTTCAAACAAGTCAAGTATTGAACAAGTCCAGCAAAGGGTTATTATAATGAATAAGTCCAGTAAAGGGTTATTATATTGAACAAGTTCAGTAAAGGGTTATTATTTTAAACAATTTCAGTAAGGGGTTATTATATTGAATAAGTCAAGTAAAGGGTTATTACAATAAACAAGTCCAGTAAGGGGTTATTATAATAAACAAGTCCAATAAAGGGTTAATATATTGAAAAGTCCAGTAAAGGGTTATTATATTGAACAAGTCCAGTAAAGGGTTATTATAATGAACAAGTCCAGCAAAGGGTTATTATAATATAACGAATAAGTCTAGTAAAGAGTTGTAATAATGAACAAGTCCAGTAAAGGGTTATTATATTGAACAAGTTCAGTGAAGGGTTATTGTATTGAACAAGTTCAATAAAGGGTTATTATATTGAACAAGTTCAGTGAAGGGTTATTGTATTGAACAAGTTGAACAAAGGGTTATTATATTGAACAAGTCCAGTAAAGGGTTATTGTATTGGACAAGTTTAGTTAAGGGTTCTTATGTTGAATAATTCCAGTAAAGGGTTGTTAATATATTGAAGAGGTCCCGCAAAGGAATATTGTAATGAACAAGTCCACTAAAGGGTTATTATATTAAAAAAGCCTATGCAGTAACTGGTTATTGTATAACAAAATCCAGGGAATATTTATTTATCGAATATGTTGTATCGCCTCCGTGGTCGAGGGGTTGGAGTCGATGGCTTCTAATCCAGTTACCTCTCTGGCGTGGGTTCGATCCCCGGGAGATGCTTTGGTAGTTTAGCACGGAGGAAGGTAGTCTAGTACTGGTGTAACTCTCCAGGAACGATGGTTAGGAAACTACCCGCCTATATGACTGAAATACTGTTGGGAAAAGGCGTAAAATCAAACAAACAAACAAACAAACAAAAATTATCGAATATGTTGTGGCTTTAATGTACTCGTTAAGTTGATATAACGCTGGACTAAAATTAATCTAAAATCTGGATTTGAAGTCGCACAAATACTTACTGAGCCAATCAGCCGGCGTGGCACAGGTGATATCTCCGCGGATCTTCATCTTAGTGGTTTGGGCGTGCTCAAAGAGCCAGAGGTTCGAACAGTTGCAGTCGAGCTGCGTGTCATACATGTGAAGTTCAGCTAGGCTGTTAAGACCGTCGAACAGGCCAGTGGGCATACTTGTAAAGCTGTTGTATCCAAGCGATAGAAACCGCAGTTTCGTCGTGTTCGAGAACATAGTAGCATACAGCGTATCAATGCCCATACCCTAAACAAAAAAAAAATCATAGATTAGGAAGTTAAAATCTAAAAAAAAAATTAAAAAATACATTTCAAAAATGGATACATTTTAAATTGGTAATGGTTGCTCAAATCTTTAGAAACCCGTCCTCATACCGGAAAATATAAAATACTTTGATTTTTTTGAAGTGTAAGACCAGAGTCACTATATATACCATTATATTTCTTTGGTAACACGGACCCCTGCTACATGCAACTATTTTGGCGGGAAAACAAATCTACAGCATTAACCTGGCGGTAATAAGCCATTCCTTCGGTATATCCCGGCAGATGCCGGATTTACAAAATAGAGCTTATGTCTTGATTAGAAAAAGACAGTCAATGGGAAAAAACTCAGAGATTTTTTATTATTTGATGATAATAATAGTAATACATTAAGTTTACTCGCAAACATAATTTCTTGAATAATGTGTAAATGTAAAGGGTCGTAACTCTGGTAGAAAATTAACTTTTAAATCCAATTATTTCAGGTCTTACGTCATTATAACTAAATAAAAAAACTATCCGTTCAACGGAGTGGAGCACGATTGATATAATATAGCATAAAATAATGATTACAAATTACAATCATTATAATGATGATGATGATGATGAGGAGGAGGAGGAAGGTGACTATGATAATGATGATTATGGCGATGATGATGATGATGGTGATGATGATAGTGATGACTATGGCGATGATGATGATGACAATGGCGATGATGATGACTATGACGATGATGATGACTATGGCGATGATGATGATGATGATGACTTTGGCGATGATGATGACTATGGCGATGATGATGACTTTTGTGATGATGATGATGACTATGGCGATGATGATGATGATGACTATGGCGACGACGACGATGATGATGCTGATAATGATGATGATGATAATAATGATTTATACAATATCAGCTATGTCAGTTTTAATAATCATGACGTAAAGGAAATAACTAAAAATATAAAATTTGTTACCTCCAAAATCAAGGTTTCTATCCTGCCTTGACTTACGATGAAATCAGATAGGAATGCGGAAGAAGCCACCTTTGAGTTCCGGAATATAAGTTCACCGGTTCTGACAGGGTATGCAGGACTCGGATCTGATAACTTTACAATTTGCATGCCGCTTAATGCACCTGAATCCCATGTCGCCACGGATCCATTTTCAATGACCAGTCGATCCAAGTAAACTAGGTTTCTACAAATAATTAATATTGCCTCTTGATTTATTTTAATGTCGTCTAATCTTGTCGTTTCTGCGGAAACTCTTGGACTTATAAAATGTTTCGCTCTGCTGAGTTGTTTAATGCACAAAAAGGGTGCACACATTTTAGTTATACATAAAGTTTAAAAATGTATTTTGCATGGTATGATTAAAAGTTTTGACAGGTACATATTGGAAGGAAAAAATACATGTATAATCATTTTGAAAATAAAATGTAAAAATAAAATGATGAGCCGCATTTCTTTTTACATTTAATAAAACCTAGATAATGCAAAAAAATTGTGCGCTATCTTAAAATCCGTGAACTTTGCTTAAATCCATGAAAAGTAGCCCAAAGGGTATATATTGTGTTTAATGCAAAAATGACACTTTTCATAGCTAGAATGAATTACATGTTTATGAATATGTAGACTCACGTGAATGTGCTAGCCGGTGCAGTGATGCCACAGTTAACTATCTTGATGTCCCGGATGTGGTTCATCCGGGCGAATGTGCTCTGACCAAGGGTTACGCTGCCACCATTGCACTTAATTTCAAAAGTAGCCGCCCAGTTCGCATCAAACTGTGTTGTATCAATGGAGTCAAACGTAGAACTGAAAATGTTCGTGTTGAGGTTGCCTGACGCTGAAACTAGGCGGACACGCTGTGCCACTGGGGCACTGAAAGACGTCTCCGTCATTGGTAGACTAACTGTTCCATGGGTGCATTCATAAAGCCCTGTAAATATGCATGTTCAAAAAGCATAATCAAAAGCAAAGAAGTCATACGCAAAAATACATTTATACAAATCCAAATGCATGTTAGCTGATTTGTGCAATTCGTGTTTTGACGCGTTTTCGCCTCGCGACCCCGCCAAGCGAAAAGTCGAAAATTAACAAGTTAAAATGGTGGAGGTGCGCAGCGAAACACGCTTATCACTTGTGGAGAAATTGGTAAAAACTAGTTAGTTATCCAGTAAAACCTGCTAGATGGGTCGACCGCGGAGTTAAGACCAAAAACCAAGTTAAAATTTGCGAAAAAGAGGGAAAACAAACTACATGTAATTGTAAAAGATAAAGATTTGTAAAATGTATTGGAAACATTAACTGCAAATATAGTGTGATGACTTTTTTTTTCTTTTTCTTTAAAAAGTGTCAAAATATGTCAATGCAATGTATGAAGCCCTGACACCTTCAAGTGGAAAAGAAAACTTAAAATGTTAAAAGATGCAAACACAAAACAAACAAAAAATTGCAGCAAATCTGTGTCCAACTCTTTTTAGAAATCTCCAATAATGCATGCACAAAAAATGCACGTCAAAAACGAAAGTTTACACGAATTAGCATTTCCTTACCATCAATTTCTACACATCCGGATGGAGCAACACAAAATGCACGTGGCACTAGAAGCACGAGGAAGAAGCTTCCCGCAAGATATTGTACCACGTTCATGGTTGACACGTGTTCAGTATGAAGCTGTAAAAATAAAAAATAAAACATTTTCGGGCCTCTTATATGTAGTTGGATGTAAAGGGTATGTGTTCAATTTTGTTTGCTTCTTGACAAAATGCATACAAATGTATTAGGTTGCAAAAAAGGTGTTCGTAATTTTACGGTAACAGGTTTTGGAGCCTGCACTAAGAAATAAACAGTAATTTGACTGCATTTTCTTTGTTAATTCATTTTTCTTTTCTTTTTCCCCAATGATATGAAGGCGCTATCTAATACTTGTAAAGAACCACGGCTCGTCACTGTTTGACTGAAATAATGAAGTAAAACAACAACAACAATAGCAGAAGCACCGAAGCACCTGCAGCAAAGCTAAATTTTCAACCCGAAATAATGTTGTTTTTTTTTTTAATTTATGCATTTTTATTTTTTAGTACATAAAATTAATGTATTCTAATGTTTAAACCCCTTAAAAATGGATTGGTCTACAATGGGAGCATTTTCCATTAGTATTTTAAAAAAGTTGATACATCCAAAACAAATGTATAATTCGGATATTCTATTAAAATATTGCCTGGAAAAATGTTGATAAAGTTCTAAGTGATTTGTTTTGAACATTTATGTTCTAATAATGTTTTGTTCTGGAACACTTTATTATCTGCTATATAAACATAATGATGTAAGATATGTATATACGATCTACGTAGATCAACTTGAGCACTGAAAACTGAAAATTAATACAATAAAGAAAAATACTCAGAACTGACTTGAAATCGATTTTAGTACTGTGTGAAGTACCAGTTTTGAGTTAAAACGTGTTTCAATGCTTTCATGTATAGGGCTTTCTAAACCCAAAAATGGTTATTTATGAAAACCACGAATGATCTTAAATGTTGTACACCAGTTTTTGGTTTAGACCAACAATATTTTGTATAAAAATCTCGACAATATTATTTCCAGCTCATGTGAAACATTGTAATGGAATACGTTGAAGTATCTTCGTCTATAAGAGGCACTTCAAATATTGATACAACAATAGAAATGTACAATATGGATATTCTGATTAGATATTAATTGCTTGAAACAAATGATCATATAACTATTCTAAGTGATTTGGTATGAATATCTATATGACGAATGATAAGATTTTGTTCTAGAACAGTTTATTATCTGCTATATATCATATCGGATCATGTTTCTCACACTTGCCAAAAATATACATATAGAATTCGTTCACGAATTTTTTTCTTGTCTAATACCAAGTTCAGATGTAACGGAAGGTCTGTAATAAAATGTAATTATCTATTGTATTACAACCTTCCATCAATACACTTTAATTAAGTAAAATCGACGCAAGTTTGTATTTATTCTGTAAAGCACGTTCCATAACTGGCATATGATAGTAGCATACATGTATATTCAAGTTGATTATTACGTAATTACCTAGGAAAAATGGAGAAAAAATATAAATTTGTGAATTTCTACTCATATACAAAATAAAAAATAAATAATTACAATAATACATTACATTATTTCAGGTAATTCAGAAATAATCCACTGTTAAACACTAGCGGTCATTCCATGGCATTGATTCAATTATAAACACACATGTATTTTTTTTTAAGATTTCATTTGGTCACATTTCAAAAATATGTAAGTCAGCCCATTATTGATATTTTTAATCCCTAAACTTGGCATGAGATTAACATATCAGTCACTGCATAAAACACATTCAAATCTGGAATTTATTTTAATTGTTTGAGATTCCATATAAAATGATTCCTGTATGTTATGAAAATTGGTATTCAAAATGTTGACATTGTAGTTGCTGCTACTGCTGCTGATGATGATGATAATTTTACGGATGACGATAATGACAACGACGACGATGATGATATATGATGTTGATGATAATGATACTAATTTTATGAATGCATAATAGCTATTTCAATTGTGGAAATTGCCCACATTGGTCTATATACGCACTCGGCCAATCTGTACTCTCTTACCATAATTATACCCGTCCACTCTCCCCGCCCCCTTTCGTAAGTCTCATGAAAAAAGATTTTTTTGTACTGAAATTACGCTAAACTTTGATGTGACCCGTTTAATAAATGTTTATAAGACCTTATTAAGGTGACGGACTTAATACCCAAGGAAAGTTTTACAGTATTAACCGATTAAGCTTTAACTTAATCAATTGCACTTTTAACGCGCTTTAAAAAGTCTATAATTTGATATAATGGTATGATAGATTACATGAACAAAATCTTTCTCGGCTGACATATTAATTAAATTATTTAAACAGTCTTGTTTGTTCAATGTGAATTTTTTCTCATTTGGTTCCATTAGTTTCCAAAAAGGTTTAGGTGTCTTTCCCTGTCAAACTATTGCAGTGGATCATCGGCAGATAAATAAAACAAATGACGTTTTATCGGCTGGCACCAGAAAATAGTTGGTTTTTTTTACGAAAATTCATACACATTGCAAATCGCCGATCCAAGAAACGACGATACAAAAATTTATACATATTATATACAGAAAGAACAAATCGCTGGACCAAAAAAGCGACTATGCCATGCATGGGCGCTCTTGGTGCTAGTTGCCTTGCAGGGCTCGGGCTCTCCTGGCTAGTTGCCTTGGGCTACAGCTTTGTGCCTTTTAATGCTGTATATGAAAATCTCCAAACTATTGCAGTGACTCATCCTCAACTGAATAAAAAATGGTGTTTGAAAGGCTGGCACCAGTGAATGGTTTTTTTTTTAACGAAAATCATACTTTACATACAGAAAGAACAAATCACCATAATTTTATCAAAATTTATGCCAGTCATTGACCTTGTATAGTGACAACTAATTATAATCCTGGAGACATGTTTTAAGTTTCAATTTTGAAGACTGATGTTACTTGCAACACTTCATAAAGGGCCATTATTCAGTCAAAATCTAAATTAGATTCATGGGCCTTTAGAAAATTACGTCCTGTTTTGATCTCAAGTAAATGTGTTACAATCAAACACCTTGGTGGTGGATAAGATATGATGCACACTAAACTGCAAGTGAAACGTTAACAAAACAAACAGTTAGCACGACACAAGCATCCTGGTGAGTAGGATAGCCCAAACATTCGCTAAAACCACAAATAGCTGCACCAACCCCCATGTCATTTTGGGCACCTTGCAGACATGTTTCTTGGATTAAGGGCCTTTTATAACCATAAAGGGATGCTTTAGAAGTTTAGAGACACCGCACTAGCAGCTAATCTACATTTGAATTAGATCAATGCGTAACTCACGATATGCTTTGGAAAATGATGTGTTTTTACGAAAATGCCAAGAAAATTGATGTACGAGCATACGGAATCGCCGCGATGACTTTTAACGCCTGCACAACTAGGGCATATGGCGGTCAAGTTTCTTCTGCTAGCTCCCTGTGCTTTATATTGTCATTTAATGGAGCCTCCATGTCACGAGTATTGATTTGGCCAAGCCGCAATAAAGTCGGTCCAATTGGTAGCGTTCAATGGTCTCCGACAAATGGTGCTTAAATGGTGGCGGTGTTGGTAGTTTTCACTATGGATCACGGCAGTAAGCCACATTGAATTTACCAGAGCTCAGTTCATCGCTGTCAGTTTACCAGTACTAGTTGCATTCACTTTCGTAAGAAACTGATAACTTCTGTACATGCCAGAGCAGAGGTACAGTGCAAATGACTGTAGAAAGGATTTCATGATCACAACGAAAGTGATCTGCACCGTCCGGGAATCGCACCCGTGTCGCCCGATTCCAGACGGCTTTAATAAAGACGGTTATATAACTTAAAGGGCCCAAACGTTACATGTTATTACAAAATTCCATTACAAAAATACAGCGGGAGCACCACATTCAGTGTAAATGCTCGTCTGTCAGAATATTCACCTTTGACAAAAATTGTTAGTTAAAAAGTGGCTTAATTAACTCAAAAATTATTTTCACTATTTATTTAAAAGATTTTCACTATTTTATTAACAATGTTTTTATGTATACACTGCAAGATAATAAAAACACACACACATTTTGAGTAAGTCAGACACAAGAATTAAACAACACATATATTTTACATCAATATAATTTCTTTTATAACGCATGTAATGTTTGTCAGAACAACACAAATTTATCACAGATCTAAGGAATGAATGCTTAACTATAACTCATGATTTATAATTCTCTGGATTTTAAGCATAGATAAAGTAGTACATCTGCGATAAACGGACATTTGCACCCAGGACAACTGCAACCCCCTTGGACATTTGCCCCTCGGACACCCCCCCCACCCTGGACATTTGACCCCTCATTTTTTTATCACCCCGTTTTTAATTTTATCCTAGATTTTTGTATCGCTTTACCTTTCTTTACATACAGATCAACAATGCTTATTACATGCAAAATATGATTCAAGCCAAGAGGTTAATGTTGTTAACTTTAAACGGTTTTCCCCTCACCTTTGAATCCCACCAAGTACTTTGAATTCTTTTTAGCTAGCTAAAATTACTGAAACTCGGTGATTCTACACAGGCGGCCATTTTGTGGCTGAAATACTGCACAGATGGACAAGTCCTTTTAAGATAATTTTGCATGGTAAGGGCTGACAAGAAGTCATAAGACCCCAAAGCATCAAAATACAAGAATAAAGTAATCAAACTATCAAATTTACTTAAATAAATTAATAATAAAGAATGAAAATAGCAATAACTAAAAATAGAAATATAACTAAAAATAGAAACATGAAGCATAACAAAACACCTGACCTGTATAATTATTGGCATAACAAAAAAACACAATAATGAACAGATCATTTCATATAGGCTTAATTGATGGAAGAAAAATGTTTTCATTCAAGAATAAACTTTATTAAAAATCACTAAATTTCTTTAAAAAAAGGATAGCATAAAACTATAGGCCTTCTGCTTACAGGCCACCTAATGAAGTAGCCAAGAATCAAATACTCATACTTACAAAGTGGGCAATGATCAAAAATTATAAAAAGGTCTGAAAATTAAAAGTAATATATATAACAAAAGTATATACAAAAATAATCTTTACATTCAAGATTTTATAATTATAAAATCTGGTTTAGAAACGCTCATGGACAGTTTGGTCTTTACATACAGGTAGTATCTATACACAGGTAGATTTGTAGTATATTTGTTACAATAAAAAAATTTCCTGGCCTAACAGGTAAGCTTTCTATATTACATATATTTAATTATATAGTCAATATTCTGAAATGGTTTTAAACACATGTTTGAATCTATCTAATGTACATCACTGATCAATTATACAATAATAATTTACAATTATGACATTTAGCTTTTAGCAACAAATTTGATGAAAATGTTTGTTACTTAAAGAAAATGTGTATTGGTTTAATGACATTTTCCCCCCTTAAAGCATATTTGTGAGCTGTTTTTGTAGACTATGTTACACACAGATGTCAACATTGTACTAATTTGCTGAATTCTTCAGAGTTATGTGAGCAAGTATGAAATTTTTTCCAAAGAAAACAACTGGTAAGTTAAAGTACTGGAAATACTCATAATTCAGAAGTTCACTTCCAAGGAAACAACTCCTTGTTCACTATGCCTTGTTCTATGGTGCCAGTATGACATGATGATGATATTGTTGGATGTTTGTTTCCATGGTTACTAACAATCAAACAGAAATATTCACGATAACGTAACAGCAAGAGCAATGATTCCTCCAGCCATTATCAGGAATGGTAACCATGTCTTGATGAAGCCACAAACGCTGAAAATACATAGTACATACATAATGAAATGCTGAAAATACATAGTACATATATAATGAAATGCTAAAATACATAGTACATACATCATGAAATACTGAAAATACATTGTACATACATCATGAAATACTGAAAATACATAGTACAATGTACATACATCATGAAATGCTGAAAATATATAGTACACTGAAAATACATACTACATACATAATGAAATACTGAAAATACATAGTACATACATCATGAAATACTGAAAATACATAGTACATACATATTGAAACGCTGAAAATACATACTACATACATAATGAAATACTTAAAATACATAGTACATATATGATGAAACGCTGAAAATACATAGTATATATATGATGAAACGCTGAAAATACATACTACATACATCATGAAATACTGAAAATACATAGTACATACATTATGAAACGCTAAAAATACATAATGAAATACTTAAAATACATAATACATACATAATGAAATGCTGAAAATACATAGCACATACATAATAAAATGCTGAAAATACATATTACATATATGATGAAACGCTGAAAATACATAGTATATATATGATGAAACGCTGAAAATACATAGTACATACATAATGAATCGCTGAAAATACATAGTTCATACTTTATGAGTAAAGGATTGCTACTTTTCGTTTGTTGAAAAAGTTTCACACTAAAAACTAGAAATGTGTCATCATGCCATGGATGCCCCCGCATGCAGCCAAAATTTCAGATGTTATAATATTTAGTTCCAAATTTGTTTGCACAAATTATTTTTTTAATTTTAAGTTCAAAGCCCTTAAAACTTTTCAATGTTAACACAAACCATTTTCATACAATGTTCAAGGCACTGAAATTATTCAGTCTTAACCTTTTGAAAAAAGCATATTTCATATTTGTAGCCAAAATAATGGCTACATACATTTCCACAAAAGTATGAGTGCTGAAACTGAAAGTTCAAAATTTTTCCAACATTCAAGAAAGATAAGTTTGTCCAAAATCATTGAACCATGACCAATTTCAAACTTAAACTGCTTATTCCTAAGATGTATCTATATTATTTTCAAAGCCAAAAATCATCGAACCATGACCAAATTTAAACTTGACCTGTATTTTCTCATGACATATCCATATGTCAAATTTGAGTTGAATGTGTGCAACCGTTACTAAGATAATGAACGGAAACTGATGATGACGGAATGACAGAATGACGGAAGGACGGAAGGACGGAACAGGGTAACACTATATGCCCCGGCCATTACATGGCGGGGGCATAAAAAGTATGGTAATATGTTGTACTAGAACATACTGGAAAAAAAACAAACTTATTTACATATGTTTTAACATAAACACTACAATATTGAGGCTATTTAATGAATTTGCCTGAAATTTAGGGTCAGTCACATTGCGTTAAATTTATGGTGGTTTGTGGCAAATTATCTTTGCAGTACAAGACTCAACCCTAAATAACCTGCTGTACTCAAAATATATTAAAGACCCTGTAACACAATTTTTTTTTCATGGTTTTATATTATAGATCTGATGCTAAAATGAAGATTTGTCAATATTGTAAGTTTCAAAAAGCATTATTTGTAAAGATATTACTGAATTTTACATTTCATGTAAATAAAGGGAGGTAATAAGTAAGAGCAGCCTGATCAGGCTACAGGTATAATTATACTGTTGGTGGCTTGTTTTTTGTATAATGACATGAAAATCACTTGAACTTTAAATTAACTGTCTCGGCAATCAAGTTCACATATTCAGCAATTAAGGGTAAATAACAAAATTCATCATATAACATATGACAGTTTTGGGAAAACCTTAATGTTTCACCTCTAATTAAAACCTGCAATTTATATAAATGAGCTGCGTCATGACAAAACCAGCGTAATGGGTTTGCGACCAGCATGGATCCAGACCAGCCTGCGCATCCGCACAGTCTGATCAGGATCCATGCTGTTCGCTTACAAACCCTATTACAAGTAGAGAAACTGATAGCGAACAGCATGGGTCCTGATCAGACTGGTCGCAAACGCATTTTGTTGGTTTTGTCATGACGCGGCTCAAATGTATATCAATAATATCAATTTATAGACTTTTTTTATCTAATTATTTTAAGAAAACTGAAAAATACACAAACCTGACATATTTTCCAAATATAAGCATATAGAAACAAAGTTTAACCATATTCCAGGACTTGCTACCACCATATTCCATGATATTCAATGCCATGGCACAGTGACTGTGACAATTATCACAACATAGATTATGCTGAAAAAATAAATCATATGAGCTGTCACACATACATGTACAGTGATCGAGGTTTTCCTTATCTCTGTAGTGAAAGGCACATTATGCCTCAGAAATGAATACATTTTTTTCATCTTTAGAAGGTCACAAATGAGTTTTAAAATGTTTAAATAATGTTTTATAACCTGACCAATGTAGCAATGAATGTGAAATTATTTGTCATAAAAGTAGCAAAAATGCAAACAAAGTAGTATTTTGACTTCAATACAAAATACCAAATCACCGTAACTACATGTATACTAATTAACTAAAGCAACAGAAGCAAAATATCTTTCAGGAATAAAGTTCTGGGAACTGTAACAGGTCACTAAAATAGAAAGCTTTTGAGAAACAAAATTATAAGTATTTCTTGGGCATAATGGGCCTTTAAATGAAGGAAAAGAAGTTTACAAAACTTGAGACATGTCCAATACCTTCAATGGTTGGGAAGATGCATCTTGCACAAAAAAATTTTACCAGACATTTTCAAAGTTTACCAAGGGGTTTAATAGTTTTTGAGAGTGACCAAAGACATGTGTAAATACTCAAGTAATACCTTCACATTGTGGACAATGGTAAAATAGATAAATACTACACAAATTCTTTTATTAAATCTAATCTTATACATGGAAATTGGACAAATATTAAAATAAAATCTTAAATTTAATATTATATTTCAAGGGTGTGGGGCATAATGGTTGTATCATACAGGATTTTTTTTGATATAAAATATCATCAATATATCAAATGGAGCAGAAAATAAAACATTCAAGGAATAAATTCTTTTCATACAGTAATTACCTCCCCTGACTGCCTTTCAAATAATTATATCATATAACAAGAGCTGTCGGTAGGACAGCACGCTCGACTATTCTAAGTGCTTGATAGTAAAAGAGCCTTGATAATGTTAAATTTTTTAAGTTCACAAAGGGCTAATTTTTTTTTATAAATTCATGTTATAGGCCTTAGAGAGAGTCTAATTATACAGTATTGGCTTGACTATTTGGAAGGTAATGTCACGAGGGTGTTTTATTGAGTATAATAATACTAATTACCTATGAATACATAAATTTGACAGAAAAGGTGCAAAGGCTTGTTATTAAGATGTTTTATCAAGTAAATAACTGCTTTATTATTATGAATGCATAAAATTGTCCCAAAAAAGGCACAAACCCTTCAGTAGTTATTGAGATAACAGCTTACAAGCAAAACTTTACCATGAATTTCTAAGTTGAAAAAGGGGAGAAAATCAGCCTAAATGCAAGATAGAATTATGGATTTTTGTCAGTGACCTACAATTATGACCCTAAATGCATATGTGAAGTTTTAAATAAATATCTTTAATAGTTATTGAGATATCTAAAACTTGCATGTAAACATTAACCAAGAGACTAAGTAGAAAAGGGGATATGATATGAATCAGCCTTAATGCAAGATAGAGTTATGGAACTTGGTCAGTGACATACAATTATGACCCTCCAATTATGACCCTAAGTGCTGTGCATGTGTAAAGTTTCAAGTAATTATATTTGAAGACCTTTAACCTTTAACCAAAATTTCTAAGTTTCAAAGGGGCAAATAATTCTGCAAATATTGCAGACAGAGTTATGCAATTTTGCAAACTGATGTACATTGTTACTATAAAAAAGTATTTTAAATTTCAATTGAATATCTCAAGCAATAATTGAAATATTTGACATTACAAAAAACTTTAACCAAAATTTCTAAGTTAAAAAGGGGCATAATTCTGTCAATATTGTAGGCAGAGTTATCCAACTTGTCAATCTGATGTAGCTTGTTACTATAAATAAGTATTGTAAGTTTCAATTGAATATCTCAAGCAATAATTGAAATATTTGACATTACAAAAAACTTTAACCAAAATTTCTAAGTTAAAAAGGGGCATAATTCTGTCAATATTGTGGGCAGAGTTATCCAACTTGTCAATCTGATGTAGCTTGTTACTATAAATAAGTATTGTAAGTTTCAATTGAATATCTCAAGTAATAATTGAGATATTTGACTTTACAAAAAACTTTAACCAAAATTTCTAAGTTAAAAAGGGGCATAATTCTGTCAATATTGTAGGCAGAGTTATCCAACTTGTCAATCTGATGTAGCTTGTTACTATAAATAAGTATTGTAAGTTTCAATTCAATATCTCAAGTAATAATTGAGATATTTGACTTTACAAAAAACTGTAACCAACGCCGACGCGGACGCTGACGCAGGGGCGACTACAATAGCTCTCATATTCTTCGAATAGTCGAGCTAAAAATCTCTCATAATTATATCATCCTCATAAAAACTTATAAAACTCTTTTAACATATTGGTTCTGTAATAATATTTTCCTTCAGATGTGTAAAAGAATTTGACAGTTCACTGAAATCAGATGTTATTATTTATTTTTCACACTCAGTCAATTATATTAAATATAGAATATCGACGCCCCAAAATGGCTGCCACTTTTGGCAAGGGAGGTAAATATTGTTATAAATTGGGAACTAATCTATAGTTACCATTCTTGTTTTATATTCCTCTGAAGCATCATATACGGCCAGGTCCCACGTGTCTTTCTGACTCTGTCCTTTCTTACCAACTTTATCTATGTCCAACTGCCAGTACCTGCAACACAAAAAGTGGCAATTACAGAAATATATATTATGGAGGGCGTTCGTTGCCAAAATTCCAGACATGTAAAGTGTTCCTTTTTAAAATGACTTTTGAAAATGCGAACTTGTATGTCTACCATTTTTATTGTATGCCTCTTAATTCAATCTTTTAATTGAAGGTTACCGCCTTTATATAACAAGTTTACATATATATCGTAACAACTGACCTAACATCTAAAACGACAGCAAATTTACAAGTTCGTATCTTCCATTGCATGCAATACATACGCATGTTTGCACACTTATAGATCTGTAATATACAAATGAAATGTAAAACTCGAATACGGAAAATAGAGTTTAAGAAAACGTGTTACCAATTGTAGAACTACAAGAGTACGTTAACACAGTAACATGTTTAAAATGACAAAAGTAGATTCACAAAGTTAAACGATTTTAAGTCAAGCATAACGCCCCGCCCCTCTCGGAGTATTTACGACCTTCTATTGCGGACAGGTATAAAACGGCGCCTCTCCCATATTTTTAAATAAAACTGAAGGACAACATACGGCATTTTTCATAACATATATATGTTGCATTTGTTATAAAAGTTTTGTCACAAGCAACATCACTTGAAAATTGCTGATTTTACCATTTATGATGAAGATAACTTGTGCATTACCTTATTATTTAACATCGTGTTCTTATCAGTTACAAATTATTTATCATTTTAGTGATTAGCCTGTCCGTGCTATGCCTAGTGCCCTGGCCATGTGTGTTGTTTGGGGACCGCCTGGGCTTCTTGCCACTTGTTCTTGTTGCTGGGTCATGTAGGGTTGCGTTCATTAAGCGCCGCCTTTCCTTGTTGATCTTGTTTATCATATATTCCTGAGAAACATCGGCGATTTGGAAATTTTTAGGGGAAACAATGACCAACTTCAAGGGAGTAATTTTATTGATAATGTAAAAACATCCAATACTCTTATTGGTATCATTGAAAAATGTATTGGCACAAATTTCACTTTCAACAAAAAACTATGCAAGTATTTGCAAAAATAGGATTTTAAAGCGGCCACCGAGATTTCCTTCCGAAATCAAGAAAATACTTATCCGTAGCACATATTTACAATCTTTAATACGGTATTTTCAGTATGAATAAAATCTTTTTGCACTTGTTCATTATCCCTCATGTACAGACTCAATCAAACAGAGTCTGCAATTCTTATGTAATTTTGTAGTGATTAATGCTTCCGAGGGATCATTTTGTTTCCAGATTTTAATACTTCACAACAGCAGGTGCCAAGTGCCGTGTGGCAGTTGTAAATAGTTGCCCCGTACTTCACTTCAGTGTTTTTCTGGTCATTCGGGATCATTGATGCCAGCGCTATTTAAGTGTTTAGAATTGAGTACCGTTCAAGCCAGTGCTAGGGGCTTGTCACTTACGTGTCACATTGAAGGTTCCATGATAATCGTCACTTGTTTCATTATCCCTCATGTGCAGACTCAATCAAACCGAATCTGCAATTCTTATGTACTTTTCCACCGCCTTTCCTTGATGATCTTGTTTATTATCAAAACTGACCAAGAAATAAAAAAAAGTAAGTAAGGGGCGCCATGTTTTTTTCTTACTGGAATTTCAGAGTGTGTGTTTTTTTTATCTTGGGGATCATATGCCGTTTTTTCATGGTATGGCACTTACGTGTCACATTGAAGGTTCCATGATAATCGCCATATTAACACATCTGCGGATGTTTTCAAAATTGTACCAGTTTCATGTTGAATTTTGCTTAGCCGGTGCTAGAGGCGTGGAACGATAACTTGCTCTTTCCATTACCGTCCATGAGCAGGCTCAATCAAACCGGGCCTGCAACATTCTCAATTTTGTCGTTTTGAGCGTTCTCTTTAGGGATTCTTATTTTCTCTATTTTACAAAAGTAACATGATAAACTTTTTAACGAAAGTTAATTCAGTTTGATTTAATTCATTTTTATTTTTAGGCATTATATAATTATATATCATAAATCGTATGAAGCACACTTTTATTTCGATCCAAAATTATCAAAATATATTACGAACTTAAAAAAAAGTTTGGAGGGAACGCCGTGTTTTTCTTTACCAATTCGAGAGTGTTATTTTCAGAGTAAAAAAAACCTAAAAATTCCATACATCTATTTAATTCATTTTTATTTCCGAGGCACTCATAGAAAGCTTATGGAGTAATCTTTCATTTGATTACCAATAATATTGACTTTTTAGTAAAATAAAAAAGTTAGAAGGACGCCGTGTTTTTCCTTCACTTTATTGAGAAAATAGGAGTGAGGCGACGGGTATTATACCTGTCCGTACATTTCCGTGATAGAAGATCGCAAATACTCAGAGAGAGGCGGGGCGTCATGCATGACTTAGAATCGTCTAAACTTTGTGAATCTACTTTTGTCATTTTTAAACATGTAACTGTGTAAACGTACTGTGTAGTTCTACGACTGGAACACGTTTTATTAAATTATTTTCTGCATTCGAGTTTTACATTCATTTGTGTTTTTCAGGTACATATATATATCTACAAGTGTGTAAACATGCTTATGTATTATATGCAATGGGTAGATACGAACTTGTAAATGTGTTGTTGTTCTCCATGTTAGGTCAGATGTTAAGATTTACATGTAAACGTGTTATTTAAAAGCGGGTGCCTTCAATTAAAAGATTGGATTAAGAGGCATATCATTTGCTGTGCACGAATGCAATAAAAAATGCTAGACATACATGTTCGCATTTTCAAAAGTAGTTTTCAAAAGGAACACATTACATGTCTGGGATTTTGGCAACGATCGCCCTCCATAATATATATCTTAATGTTCACCATATAATAAAGTATATAAAATATTGTACCGTATAAATATGACAATACTGTACAATTGTGATAGGTGTGGATCCTGGATTTTTTACCAGAAGGGATCTCGACATTTCAACAAGGTAAGGGGCTAGTGGTTTGAAGTCAACACCCTTAACCACTTGGTCACGGACACCTGTTTGCCTTAAAGTGGAAGGGTGGTTACTAATAAGTGTAATAAGTTTTAAAGCAAATAAAATATCTGTATGTGTTCAATGACAATGTTTGGGTTGAACCAAAAAAACTTAACTACAAGTGTGAAACTAACGAGACCTAAATGCCTGGATGAGTTATATAACTCTCCATCAAGCTAAAATATAAAGTTCAATAACCGGTAACCAAGGTTAGTATTTGACAAAGAGGCGAAAAAGTGTTAAATTGATTTTATTTATTACCTTAGTATTTTTATAACAATTCAATACAATACAATACAATATAATATAATGTGACTATTTGTTTGTATTTTAGTTGTACTCAACTTTACCATGCATTTTTTCCAATCTGATTGAGTATGGTTTGACCCTACCGGTAAATAGTAACTCCATATGTATCGTATTTGTAATCATTTTTAGAAAAACAAGATACAAACAAAATGTATCTTGTCAGTCATAAATAAACACAGTTTATGTTGAAAATCTGAGGATTTTATTATTATGGTCAGTTAAACATTTAACACAGTTATTAGGTTGCCGTTTAAACGATTGGCATTTTTTAAAAACATGACACCCCTTAAAAAATTAAATAAAACAAGGATGATTACTGATAACTTACTTTGTTGGTCTCCCAAAAGCCATTTCATCCTCCTTTGAAATAAACCAACAAATTTTAATTAGAATATAAAATGTCAGCTTCAAATAAAAACAGCATTGCTGAACTAAACTAGGATGAGAATCAACAATTTTGTTTGTTTGATTAAGTTTTACGTCACACCGACACAGTATACTAAGGTCATATGGCATTATTCCAACTTTACTCAGGTGGAGGAAGACCTCAAGTGCCCTTCCGTGCATTATTTCAGGCACCAACAGGCACCTGAGTAGAACTCAGCTAGCTGGATAGCTTCTTCACATGCAAGACTCCAAAGTCCCTGTCTAGATTTAAACTCACAGTGGTGAGGGGCAAGCAGTTTGAAGTCAACGACCTTAACCACTTGTCCACGGACGCCCCCTAGAATCAACAATGATCTATGATGAAATTTATAAATATATATATTTACCATGTGCTTTTGATAGGGCACCTGTTTTTCGTTTTTTTGGCAAGTTTTCATCATGGTAAAGTTATCTTTACTTTTCAAATCTATATTGGTTATCGATCGGCAAAAAACGTATCAAAGTTACATCAAAATCTTTTCTATTAACGACAGCTCTATTTCTACAGATGACAGCTCTAAATTTAACATAATACATTAACTTGTTCAAATAAATTCTTTATAGTTTTTATATCATAACACTAGTCAAAATATATTGACATGCCATTTAGCTTAATTCTGAGATATTTTCGTTCTAGGGCAGAATCTCGATTTTAGAGGCGAGATATTGCCAAGACACGAAAATAGCACAATATCTCCTAGAGCAGTATAATAAGTTGCCTTATCATAACACTAGCACAATTATGCAAGAAATTCCAAAATAATAAACTCATTACTAACCGACACGTAATATGGTCCTGCAAAGTCCCGAATTACCCCAGCTGTAGTTGCTATCCCCATGTGTCCAATCATTGGCAATAGCCATCTGCAAAGAAATCATTTCAAAAATGAATTTAAAGTATAAAGTAATTAGGTTTTAAAACTTGTTTATTATTGAATACTGTGAATTCACTTCATTTTGTAGCACGAAATTTCGTAGTGTTGTCACGAAGAACATTTTCATGGGTTCTTAAATTTGCGGACTGTTTACTTTTTCAAAAGGTAAAATGTAAATAATGTCATACAAATTAATTTTACAGCAGACAAATGGAAATTTTGCTGGTCGTTAAATTAATGGATTGGCCTATGCACGAAAACCATGAAAATAAGTATCCCACGAATAATAGTGATTTTGCAGTAGTCTCAAATCAAGTCTTAAAATTGAACAATTAGCATCAAATGATCAAGTCAAGGTTTCAAGTCTAGTCATCCACTTGCTACACATCTAAAACATCTATCTTCTCTGGTTTAGTTTGATAGATTACATGTAAGTACACAAAGATGTAATTTTCTGATAATATATAAACTATTTGAAATGTTACAGGGTGAGAAAAATGTGCACCTGTCATGCCTGTAACACTGTGTAACAGAAATAAAACAAAAAAGGTGAGGTGATAAATTCAACTGGTTATTTAGTAACAAAAAATAATACGTCAAGCAGGGAATTGGGGTCCACACAATACAATTAGGATATCTCTGTCTTTTGTGGTCAATTCCCTGTGCATCATATAAAGGCAGGGGCATTTTGATTGGTCTCTTTTCAGATCCAATTTCTGGGTTGACTTCCATTTCTTGAGAAAAACCATAACATAGGGATAAGCTGGTAAACTGATCTCTTGTTAAATGTTAATCTTTTTATTGCTTTATATTCTTTCCTTTTTTCTGAAATGTCATTTATAAAAATATATATCTTTACTTTAGATAAAATCTTAGGAAGTAATATTGCGATTTGCAGACGATCAAGGCACAAATAACTGATAAATAGAGCAACACATAATAAAGACTCCTCAAAGAATGGTTCACCACATTAAGAGAATTAACACCAGAAAGTTACGAAATAGTAAAAAAGAACAAACAAAAAAATTAAACGTGTAAGATATCTTAAGTAGAAAGTTTATAAAATGTCATGTGCAGTGTTCTTAATAGAACCAGTCCCTAAAAGGAATTGTTAAATAACTCATACCCGAATGGTAGTTTCTAGCTTTAAATGCTTACTGTACTCACGGATTTATATTAATATAAATCCGTGCTGTACTGTACTGTACAAGTGTAATTAAAGCCTAGCTATGAACGGGGAAGTCGGTAAACGACAGAAGCACACTACACCATGCTTAAATAAGTGTGCAGTAGAATCATTAGCAATTTCACGTATGCTTAGGGATGAAGACATACTTCTTACTTTCTTTTTATTTATAATATGTATATTGTACATTGCTTACCAGTCTTTGTGTTATATTCATTTTTATTTTAAATTAATTTTTAAATTTTGTATTTTAAATTTGAGAGTATAGTCGTTTTATAAAAAATACATATTGACCAACAACAGAAAACAACCACACATTTAACCAAATATGGATTCTTAAGCAAGATACATGTTACATATGCAACGTCTTCTCTGACAAGCTTTGGTCATTTTCTTTTGAAGATTTTATTGTGAGTGTTAATGCGCAATTTATATACCAAATGCATACAATAATTGCTGCAGAGATAACTCAGACATTTAGTGATTCCACAATTATTTTCATTATTATTATTTTTTGCAATATATTTTTGCATATCTTCGCGTATGTTTAAAATATTGACCCTAAAAACAAATTTAAATTCAAAGATTTTACGTACACTACAAAAATATTTATGGAAATGGAAACTTGCAAGTTAAGTTCATATCAAAGTTGTCATATCAAAGTTGTACTAAAGGCGCTCTAGACCCATTATGCACTTTATAGTGTTTCATTTTGTTTCTAATTGATTAAATCTGCGTTTAATATAGCATTTTCCCGATTATCCATAAGAGTTCTTTCATTTTTATATTTTCTTTGATAAATTATTAAATTCAAACGCAGACAAACGTTTGGGCACATAATACCTCAGAAACAAATAAATTTTTAGTTCTTGAGAAAGGGCAAACATATATTTTATAATGTGTAAATAATGGTTTTAGAGAATGTTAGAGGATTATTACCTAAAGAAAGAATCGATTAATGTGAAATAATATGTCATAAAAGTAGCAAAATGTAAACAAAGTAGAATTTTGACTCCCATACAAAATACTTATACACTATAACTTTACTTATTGCTTAAGAGCAACAGATGAAAAAGAGTGTTGTTTTCAGAGGAAAAAATGATAAACTTTGAGACAAAAATTTTAATACTTGTACATAAGTCATTTTTATTTTTAAGGCCTCCCTAGAAAGCTTATTAAGTAATCTTTAATTACATACCAAATTTATGAAAATTGATTAAGAAATAAAAAAAGTTAGTAGGGGCGCCGTGTTTTCCTGGAGTGTAGGACAAAAGCCCCCCCCCCCGGACGAAAGCCCCCCTGTCTAAAAATGACAAGGTGGACAAAAGCCCCCCCCCCATGAAATTTACACATAGGACAAAAGCCCCCCCCCCATAAAAAGTAAAGGTAGGACAAAAGCCCCCCATGGTCCATCAAATTACATGTAGTGTAAATGAATTAATAAAAATGAAAACAATTTATTTTAATGTTTATTTATAATGTATATATTGAAGTGATAACAAAGTATGATAACAGATGAAATAATGCATGCATGCGATACTGATTTCATAGTTTTTCATATACACAACAAGCGTCAGAAGAGTAGTGATGTTTTATCACTTTTGTAAAGGGATCAAATTAATATCCTTAGCACTATATGTCACCTACATGTGATGTCCATACATATTTATTGAAAAAAAACATACATATACAAATATATGTTTTCTATTTGCTAATTAGATATATATATAAAAAAAAAAACAAATTGAAAAAATGCAGATATTTATACATTTACACTATGGGGGGCGCTTTTTGTCCTACCATTACTTTTTATGGGGGTGGGGGGCTTTGTTCCTATCTGGAAATTTCATGGGGGGGGGGGGCTTTTGTCCACTTTGTCATTTTTAGACAGGGGGGGGCTTTCGTCCGGGGGGGGCTTTTGTCCGTATCCGGTTTTCCTGACCGAATTTGAGAGTGTTGTTTTCAGAAGAAAAAATGAGAAACTTTGAAAAAAAATAATACTTTTACTTATGTCATATTAATTTTTATGGCATCCCTAGAAAGCTTATCAAGTAATCTTTTATTTGATACCAAATTTTTTAAAATTGGCCATAAATTATTGTATAATTGTGAATAAAAAAATAACAGGTCTTTATTAGCTTATTAATACCATGCATTTACTATAAAAGAGGAAGTGCGGTCTCTTTTAGGTGGTTTTGCTTCTTTTTGTTATTTTTTTTATTACGTTTTGATACCAGTCTACGATCCCCGCTAAAAACTGCACAACTGTCATTTCCCATCGTAATTACTAAAAAATTAATATATTTAACCTTTATTTGCATATAATTGACAGTAACTATATAGTCCATTAGTTTCTTTACATGATAATCCATTAAACAAAGGTTGCGGTTTGTCACAACCCTTCATTTGGTATGTCTGATCCAGAGGATCTGCAAGAAGGTAAACGGAAGATGGCTGACTGGGTTTTCCAGTTGAGACGAATTGGACCACCAGCTACATGTGCTAAAGTCCCAGATGCAATGAGGTACACATGGGTACAAGTTTTTAGGCACTTGTCTGAATTGCAATTTTTATAGACCTGAAAGGACTCTTTTCTGTAAGATATAGATTCCTAATCCTATAAAATTAGATTTTTTTTTTCTTACTGGCACCAAATCATCGGTCCTACTAAACACTGCTAAGGACTGCTAAGGACCGCTAAGGACTGCTAAGGAGCCACAAAGGACTACTAAAGAGGCACAAAGGACCTTCAAATACCTCCTAGGCCATTCTTATATTACATGGTATTATTTTTAGTGGAAAAAAAATTATAATTTTAAGAAAAAATATGATTTTGGTGAAAATTTTATGAGTTGTCGGACCGCTAAGGACTGCTCAGATACACAAAAAGACTGCTAGGGAGGCACAAAGGACCTTAAAATACCTGTAAGGGGCATTCTATAATACAAGGTAGTATGTTTAGTGACAAAAAATGTATTATTTTAAAGAAAAAATATCATTTTAGTGATAAAATTTATGTTTTTGAAGAGTTGTCGGACTGCTAAGGACTGCTCAGGTGCACTAACAACTGCTAGGGAGGCACAAAGGACCTTCAAATCCCTCCTAGAACATTCTTATAATATATGGTAGTAAGTTTAATAGACAAAAATGTATTATTGTAAGAAAAAAATATAATTTTGGTGATAGAATTTATGCTTTCGATGAGTTGCCGGACCGCTAAGGACTGCTCAGGTGCGAAAAGGAATGCTAGGGACCTTAAAATATTTCCTAAGGAGGCACAAAGGACCTTAAAATACCTGTAAGGGCATTCTTATAATACATGGTAGTATGTTTAATGATAAAAAATGTATGATTTTAAGGAAAAATATCATTATAGTGATAAAATTCATGTTTTTGAAGAGTTGTCGGACCGCTAAGGACTGCTCAGGTGCACTAACAACTGCTAGGGAGGCACAAAGGACCTTCAAATCCCTCCTAGAACATTCTTATAATATATGGTAGTAAGTTAATAGACAAAAAATGTATTATTGTAAGAAAAAAATATAATTTTGGTGATAGAATTTATGCTTTCGATGAGTTGCAGGACCGATAAGGACTGCTCAGGTGCGAAAAGGACTGCTAGGCAGGCACAAAGACCCGTCCAAAAGTAACAAGAACTTTCACACCAAGGAAGTGAACGTGTGTAATGATTCTGTTGGAAACAACAGACATCTTGTTCTGTCGAGCAGCACACTTTCACAACCTTTAAAGGAAATAAAAACCAATATGACTTAGATCATTGAAATAGTACTTGTGAAATCTTATTTGTATATAACTTATTTATCTCTATATTTATGTATTTGTAAATAAGTAGACATAGAAACATTAGGTCCTGCTGAGAGTGCACATTGCCTGCTGCACAGTAAATGGGCAAATTATTTCGGAACAAACAACATAATTATAATGCAGGCTTTTTATTTTAAAAATATATTGCATTTGCAATTACTTTGTTAGGTTTTCCCAAATGCCAAACTTAATTAATACATTAAATGTTCCTTAAAGTTTTTTTATAATAGCATGACTCAAAATATAGATACAGACATTTTTATACCCTAAAATTGCCCAATTTTATATGTAATGTAATACATAAGCATCTTTTTGGGGTTTTTTTTGTTGTTTTTTTTTGTTTTGTTTTTTTTGGTGATAGTGGAGTAACCACCACTATTATCTGTTTCATTTTCTTACATAGAGGATATTTGTTTGTTTTGCATGTAAGATTGAAATATAATTTCACTGAGTGAACACCAGATGCAATATTTTCAGGAGTGGCGTAGCCACGAGTGAAAATATAATAGCTGGTGTTCACGAATGAAATATATTTCAATCTTATATGTAAAACAAATAAATATTCTTTTTATTTCATGCTTTTAAAGTAATTTTAAGTATTTTTTACTGATTTTGCCGCGTAACGTCGCGCATTCTCCTTTGTGACGTCATCACATCATGACGTCACATCATCAATTTTGAAATATAGTTCTGTTAAATTCTCTAATTTTGTTACATTTTTTACATGATGTATGGTGACATCGACTTTCTTTTCCTATAGAAGCAAAATTTACGTATGATGACAATTATTTCTGCCTGTTATTCCATTTAGTTTAATTTTCTTTTCATCCGCATTCAGATATAGTCCGGCTACAGTGAAAATTATATTTTATAAATTACACTAGTGGTTTACCAGAATATAATCATCTGATATATTACAATAAAACACTGGAAAGCATGAAATAATTAATTATTTTTACATGCACATAGAAAATGTAATGACATTTCCGATGATATATATCACTTGGTATAGGTAATCCTATATATAATATATTTAAAATAAGATGTGATGAAAAAAACTAAAACACCCCCTCACCCCACATAAAGTATCCAATTGTGAAACAAATGCGCATTACGCATGACAAAACCATGTTACTGGTGCTTATTGATAGTCTAACAATGAAAATGTTACAAAAATTGCCATTTTCTCCGGCAATTATGTAACAGTTGTCTGTAACATCCATCCCTATCATCAGTATTAAATTTATATGAGCTGCGTCACGACAAAATCAACATAGTGCGTTTGTGACCAGCATGGATCCAGACCAGCCTGCGGATCCGCGCAGTCTGATCAGGATTCATGCTGTTCGCTATCAATTTCTCTACTTGTAATAGGGTTTGTAAGCGAACAGCATGGATCCTGATCAGACTGCGCGGTCGCAAAGCCATTATGTTGGTTTTGTCATGACGCGGCTCATATGGTGCTTACTTAATATCACAAAGGGAGTTTTACCCTAAATCTCCAAAGCAACCGATATTATTTTTTTCTACGAAAATTATTTACATAACATAGATTATATGTTACTCTAACCTTCAGTGGACCAACAATTTATCAACATAATATTAAAGCTTAAAATAATGAATTTCGGACACATATATAGAGGATATTGAATGAGTGTAGTTTAATACTAAATTTATTGAAAGAGTTGAATAAAATCATATTATGCGAGCCTCTGGCGAGCATAATACTGTTTTATTCAACGAGTTCAATAAATTTAGAATTGAATCTACACAAATATAATATTCTATTTATCACATATACAAAATAAGAACAGTGAACTGTTAAAATGAGTAATTCTACAATGACGCGCCCATAGTGTAACGCTATGTTTATATATAGCGCAAATGACGTCACGTCAAAGTGTTATTACACTAGTGTAATATCGTTTTTATTAAATGGCTTTATAACACTCCCGCGCCGGGGTTTATGTGATAAAAATATATATATATAAATATTTTTTTTTTAAGGAACTGAAGTGGACAGATGTAACAGAAATGAGCAAATGATTCTTTTTACAATAACACTAAACTTATCTTGTTCGATATGGAAGTAGTTAGCTTTGCAACTGTACATAGAAATATTTCACACTAAAATTAAATAGAATAATCATAACAGAATAATCTTATCAGGCTATATATTCACAGAAAACTATTAAAGTAGGATATATAGAATGTTGAAGTGACATTGTGGTTAAAATTAATCAATGGTTAAAACATAGATTCTTTAAGATCATTCTTTTTACTTCAATAAAAAACAAATCATCTATCCCAGCCCCTCATAAAACAGTGGGATAAGGATCCTAACTATATACATACAGATGGGGCTGGCACATTATTGGAAGTTAACAAGCTGTATATTGGGAGCTGTGTATTGTATATTGGGATGTGTGATATATTACAAACCAGTGGGGGTGCCAATATAGGGTGATATACTTCAAAACAGTGGGAGGGACTTTCTGTTAGAGAATGCCTATTAAGTAGGCTGTAGATCAATTAAGTCTAAGGATCTATTGAACATCATTTTTTTATTGGCCAAATATATAGTCAATGAAAAAAAAACACCAAAAAAAAAAAAAAATATATATATTTCACCACCCTGAATAAAGTATTTGTCTCCATATTCCAGCACATTGTCATATCACTTGACCAATATAATTATTATAAAAAATGGAAGAAGATCATAAGAAAAAGGATTTTAATAAATGGTTATGACCCTAGTAATGAAAAAGTGATAATAACTAGACCTATCACTGAAGGTGATTAATACCCCCACCAGCAACTTTGACTTTTTGAAAAATAAGTAGTCTGAAGAAAAATTTGAACACAAACTATCAACTGTGTACAAAGAAATATTTCAATTAATTGTAATTCCTACTGGGGTCTCTAAATAAGCTTGCTTTTCACAAAGTTTGAATACAATATCTCATTTCTAACTCTAGTTATTATCCGGAAACCATTTTTCTATTTTTAGTAACACTGTAACAGTGACCTTGACCCTAGGGGGTCCAAATGCAATACCAACCAAGGTCTTCATATTAGCTTGCTATACACCAAATTTGATTCCTAACTCAAGTTATTGTCAGAAAACCATTTTTCTATTTTTAGTAACAGTGACCTTGACCCCAGTGGGCCCAAATGCAATACCAACCCAGGTCTTCATATCAGCTTGCTATACCCCAAGTTTGATAACAATATCTCATTCCTAACTCTAGTTATTGTCCGGAGATTTTTCTATTTTTAGTAACAGTGACCTTGACCTTGACCCCAGGGGGTCCAAATGCAATACCAACCCAGGTCATTATATAAGCTTGGTATACACCAAGTTTGATAACAATATCTCATTCCTAACTTTAGTTATTGTCCGGAAACCATTAAATAACGGTGACCTTGACCTTGACCCCAGGGGGTCCAAATGCAATACCAAGCCAGGTCTTCATATAAGCTTTCTATACGCCAAGTTTGATAACAATATCTCATTCCTAACTCTAGTTATTGTCCCGAAACCATTTTTCTATTTTTAGTAATGGTGACCTTTGACCTTGACCCCAGGGGGTCCAAATGCAATACCAACCCAGGTCTTCATATAAGCTTGCTATACACCAAGTTTGATAACAATATCTCATTCCTAACTGTAGTTATTGTCCGGAAACCATTTTCTAT